ATATACATATATATATATTTCATATATTATTAATATATGAAATATATATATATATATATATATATATATATTTCATATATTATTAGTTTAAAAGCTTTTCATTTTTATATATTTCTGTGACACTTCGTGTGTGTGCTTTTTTTGTTTTTTATAGAAATTATATCACACTTATCTTCTGGTGCAGTCGGAAATGCTTTACTTACTAGCTATCGCATATAATAAGGACACTTGGGTACATTCTTCTCAAAGAATTCCCGAAACGAACCTAGCTTACATAATTCATATCTTATCCAAAACACTAGCAGCCCACAAGGTCAGGTTGTCGGAAATTATCACTACTTATCACACTTCCAAGCCAGAACCAGTTCGGTACAGGTAGGTTTTGAAATACATTTCTTTTTTTTATATATTTAACACCACAACGCAATAGGCGTTATTCCCATTGCGTGTTTCTTCAGGTCTCAACACAGAGCTAAATGGCAAGATCCATCGATTCAATTGGATCGGGCGTCGTACAAATTGCAACTGGCTTACAACAAGGTGTTCTCGATGTTCAAAGACATCGATGATTACGTCGCTCAAGAATCTGGCATCGACAATGACACAGCTAAGGTACTTATGCGAAGATTGGATGTAGCATTCAAGGAGATCGATATAGCCAAAAGTCTGGCGGAATTTGTCGTTTTGTTGCTGGCAAGATCGGGATTCGACAATCTGAGAAACGATAACGAACCGATGACGACAACCGATGATATCGCGACAAATCAAAGTTCCGATCTACCTCGACTAATCGACTCGTATCCGGAGATTCTCGACGAAGTGTTCGAGGAGTATATTAAGGAGGATTACGTGGAACACGAAGAAACGAACGACGAGTACTCGTTGGAACAACAGAAGCTGGATAGACTTCTGGCGAAGAGTTTTATGACCGAGTTGAAGGAAGCGTTAATCGACAAACACAAATCCATGTCCGAGCGAGAATCCAAGGCGTTGCAACGTATTTATAATAAAAATACGTCGCAAGATCCGTCGAAGAGCGCCAACGCTGGTGTAAACAAGAACGTTGTACCCGTTCCACCGCCGATGCCTTCTTACTTCTTATGGTCATTAGGAACCAACGTTAATTGCAATTCGAGTTCCAGAGAAGAACAGATTTCTCCCGCGAATTCCAATATCGAAACCAACAACTCGTCTATCCGAGAAGATATCGACGAATCGGACGAAGAAATCGATCTCGCGAGAGCGAGAAAACTAAATTACAAAAACGGTGTTTTTAATACACTTTCGTCTTCCGAAGTCTGGGAGAACAACGATGAAGAGTCTCGCGCGTTCTTGCCGCAGATTCTCGTTGAAACTCAAGCTACGCGGTTCGTTCGGAAGCTGCCACCCGCCTTCCTTCGGGAAGAAACATTTATAGGTAGCGGCGAAAATTCTGAGGACGAGATCGCGGACAACGCAAGCGATAACGAAGATAACGAGAACAATACTGAATATAAAAACAATCGGAAACAAGTCCGATAGTTGATAGTTGAATTAATTTTTATATCCAATGCCTTCTTTTTTTATAAATAAAATGCATCGAGTGCTATGCGATTTTTTCTCTACACGTGACGCACGTGCGTGTACAGTTTCAAACTTTTTTATATATTGCTTAACTATAGATGAAAAAATTGATAAGAATCGATATCTTTGAAGCTTGATGCAGAGCAATCCACAAAGGTTACATTTATTTAAAGAAAGAGCATTGTGTTTTTATCGCAGATGCAATGCTCGACGCAATATTGTACAAAAAAAATACACACACACACGCACGTGTGTACAACATATTTAACACTAAAAACACCTAACAGCTTGTCAAAATAATCGGATTTCAGAAATAGAATATCTATTTGCAAGAAGTGTTCTATATAGTGTTTTTTTAAACAAGAAAAAAAGCGCAAAACATTAAAAATCAGTCGAAAACTGTTTCTGTTAACTGTTTACATGTTAAAGAAATTAAAAATAACAAATAAAGCATTTTTTTTTTTCAAATACTCGTCAAACTGATGGATGCGATAAAAAAAAACTAAATTACACACACGATGTGTAATTGTTATACGTATACTGTTAAAAATAAAATTGCAATAAAAACAAATCGCTTTTTTAGCATCGGTTGATACCATCGGTCGCTCGCTCGATCGGCGGCGTAGGTGAAACGAAGATGGCGCGCACGGAATCAGGAATCTGACGAGACCGCGGACGTGGTGAGAAAAGGGGTAAAAGGTCTGAACCCGCGAGAGTCTATTGCCAACAACACTGTGCCTGACAGTTCCTTCCGCAGCGGGGCAGCGGGGGGTCGGTCGGTCGATCTCCGGTGAGTTCTCACGGCGAGATCACACACACGCGTCCAGAGACCACCGCCACCAACCTCAAGCAGTAAAGCAGCAAAGTGTTAGAACAAGAAACCAACCCGGCATGGGTGATTCCCTGGACGGCTCCGAGGAACCGTCCCCGGAGTCGCAGAACATCGCGATCGCCGAGTTCCCGACGTTCGCCAATTATCTGCGAAAAGCCGTGACCGTGTTGCTGCCCGACGAGGATCTGGTGCCGCCCGCGTTCAACCTGGCCCTCGATGATCGCTACAATCAGGATTGCATTAGGAAATTTCTGGGCGACTCGCAAGTCGGCGCGCTCTACATACAGAGAAGCTCGACCAAAGGTAAAATGCGCGGATGAGATCAGCATCGCTATATGTGAGAGATTGTCGTCATCGTCAATGCGAATCACGTAGAAGGAAGGAGAATCCGGAGGAGGAAAGCCGGTGTTGCGCGATCCACCATTGCTGCGCTATTGTCTTAAATAGCGTGCAACGGTACATTTGTATGGGAAAAAGAAACGGCGCGCGTCCTGAAAATCAATTCGGCGTGAACGCCCAACGTGCGGATCACAATCACTACTCGGGTCTTCTTCCGCCGACGGGAATGTGACTCATTCTCTTCCGACCGGCGAGATCGATATATACGCATTAAAATTATCGACTGACGTGTGTAGACGCGACAAACGCGTTCTCTCGCGAGGAGAGTTGCGTTTTGATTTTTCTTTGGCGCGCGTATTGGCAAACAATTAATAATAAAGCCAACGCTCGCAATAATTGTTCGACGAGGACGAGTCTCATGGGACGACTCGCCGATGCCGAGCATTTTTATGTTACGGAGAAATAGTCTCTTGGTTATAAATAAAAACATTTTTCTCTCAACTTGTTTGTATATAAAAATCTAAATTAAATAATAATAAAATTAGATACAATCAAATGGAGATATAGATATATAATTAAAAAGAAATAAAACGAATTGTTTTATATCTCTTGGATATTTTATATATTATTAGATAAGATATGATCTATAAATTGAGTTGAAAGGCCGATCCGAGAGCAGTAAAATACAAGTTGGTCGTGTATCACAAAAAGTCTTTATTAATTACACAGACGTATTTTGGTCACAGGTTTGGACCTTCTTCAGTGTATACACAAATGTTGATTTCAAAAAGATAACACGCGAGCAGACAGCATCCAAAACAGTCAGCCCAGGACACTGTGTAATACACGACCAACTTGTATTTTACTGCTCAGATCGGCCTTTCAACTCAATTTCTTGACAATTTCACGAGCGAATTAATGTATAATCTATAAAGTTGTTAGAGAATATTATTAATGTATATTTGTTCAATTTCTTTTTTTTTATATTTAATGTGTTACGTATATACTGTATGTTTTTTTTTTAATTTTATTAAAAATTAATGAAGAGACTTTTGTAGTTCATACTGTTCTCTCTTTGCAGAAGAAGACAGTGGCGAGGGAGATGAGGACAAGGAGAACGCAACTTACTACATCTCGAACGAGATACACTTCACGAATCCAAAAATGGCCTCCTTAGTTTTAACAAAACGCGGAGTTGTCATCGAGGCGGACAAATCAATTCATTCTCAAGTGCGCTTAATCACATTCTCGGACGGACCGCCGTACGAGACTTTGCACGCGATAAGCAAGACCATGGCGCCTTACTTCAAGAGCTACGTGAAGGAAACCGGACGTGCTCACAGGGACGGCGACAAGATGGTGCCGCTTGTGGAGAAGAAAATAGCGGAACTCGAGATGGGACTGTTGCATTTGCAGCAGAACATCGACATTCCCGAGATTTCGTTGCCCATTCATCCGATCGTCGCTCAAGTGATCAAGCAGTGCGAGGAGGAGGGTCGCAAACCGAAAGTTGCCGACTTCGGCGACAAGGTCGAGGATTCGACGTTTCTAAATCAGTTGCAAAACGGCGTGAACAGATGGATAAAGGAGATTCAGAAAGTCACCAAATTGAATCGCGATCCGGAATCGGGCACGGCGCTTCAGGAGATATCGTTCTGGCTTAATCTCGAGAGAGCGTTGCATCGTATTCAAGAGAAACGAGAGAGCATCGAGATCTCTCTCACGCTCGATATACTCAAACACGGCAAACGTTTCCACGCGACCGTAAGCTTCGACACCGATACCGGTTTGAAACAAGCTCTGGCCACCGTGAACGACTACAATCCGCTGATGAAAGATTTTCCGATTAACGACTTGTTATCGGCCACAGAACTGGAACGAATACGCAGCAGCGTGCAGCAGATCTTCATGCATCTGAGAAAGATACGAAGCACGAAATATCCCATTCAGAGAGTGCTTAGACTGGTGGAGGCCATCTCCAGAGATCTGGGACAGCAATTGCTCAAGGTTTTGGGCACGCGACGACTTATGCACATTCCCTTCGACGATTTCGAGAAAGTGATGGCTCAATGCTTCGAGGTGTTCAGCACTTGGGACGACGAGTACGACAAGCTCACCGGATTGTTGAGGGACGTGGTGAAGAAGAAGCGCGACGAGCACATGAAAATGGTGTGGAGAGTGTTGCCGGCCCATAAGAAGCTGCAGTCGAGGATGGAGCACATGCGACGTTTCCGACGACAACACGAGCAACTCAGAACGGTGATAGTCCGCGTGCTCAGACCCACCGTTCGTCAGAACAGTAACAATTCCACGTTGGAGAACAACGATAACGATAACGTGAAGGTGGAATACGCGCTTGACGCGGCGGACGCCAACGCCATCAGCGAGGTCAACTTGGCTTACGAAAATGTGAAGGAGGTGGATTGTCTGGATATTACGAAGGAAGGACAGGAGTCTTGGGACGCCGCCGTTCACAGATACGAGGAGCGAATAGAGCGCGTGGAGGCGAGGATCACGGCCCATCTCAGAGATCAATTGGGCACGGCTAAAAACGCAAACGAGATGTTTAGAATCTTTTCGAGATTCAACGCGCTCTTCGTGAGGCCGCATATTCGAGGTGCAATAAGAGAATATCAGACGCAACTGATACAAAGAGTCAAGGACGATATTGAAGCGCTTCATGAAAAGTTCAAGGTAGTACCAAAGTGCCAAAGATACTACGTTGTAATTGGTGCGCATAAAGTATATGTGCTTTGAGAGACAAATTTAATTAACAAATTTATGAATATAAGATATGAATCGATTCGAGTAACAATCTGGAAAAATTTTTCACGTAGGTTCAATACGCGCAAAGTAAACGCTGCAGAATGAGTATGGTGAGGGACTTGCCACCTGTTGCCGGATCAATAATCTGGGTCAAACAGATTGATTATCAATTGACAATGTATTTGAAGCGTGTCGAGGATGTCTTAGGTAATTCGCCAATTGTTTGCTTTGTCTCTTGGAAAATTTATTTTTCTTGATTTAATTTTATGTACGCTTGCTCGCGTTTTTAGGAAAGGGATGGGAGAGTCACATCGAAGGTCAGAAGCTGAAAGCTGACGGAGATAGTTTCCGCATGAAACTGTCGACTCAGGAGATCTTCGACGATTGGTCCCGCAAGGTGCAGGCGCGAAATCTCGGCGTGACCGGGCGTATCTTCACCATCGAGAGCGTGCGTTCAAGAACAGGTCGCGGCAACGTGCTGAAGCTGAAAGTGAACTTTCTTCCCGAGATCATCACACTGTCGAAGGAAGTGAGAAATTTGCGAAATCTTGGATTTCGCGTGCCTCTGCCCATTGTGAACAAAGCTCATCAGGCCAATCAGTTGTATCCCTTCGCCATCAGTCTCATTGGAAGCATCAGAACCTACGAGAGAACATTGGAAAAGGTAAGATGATAAGCGATGATTTTTCGCTCACTGTCGCCTAGAAGTTAAACATAAATCTTCGATTTATTGATCTTTTTTGTTTTTTTTATTCTCTGGGTACAATCCGCATTTTTTTTTAAAAACAAATTATCAGTTTTATAACGATATAGGCAATTAAAAGAGCTTTGAAAGTCTACGAGATAATAGAATAGGGTAATAGATGCCAGATGTGTGAGGGTATATTAGAATAATTTCTAACTCCTTGGATCTCCAATATTTTTAGCTTACCAATCGGAGTCCCCATTGTCCCGCACTAAAGGTAGTCCATACTTGACGCTTTCAGGATAATGCATCTTGCCTATATATATATACATATATATATGCAAATATATATATATATTATATTCTCTTGTCTGCCTGCTTAGTTTGTAGAGAAATCTGTAATGCAAGAAAGTGTACAAGTTTATTTTTTTGCCGAATGTGTATCGATTATTTTTAAATATATATATAGTCTGTACGGGTGTGCGGCAAGTCTGATCTCGGCAATATAAAATTGATGTTCTGTGTGTTCTGTGAAAACAGGAAAAAAACCATCTGAACTGTTTTCACATAAAAGCGAGACTATTAGCAATTTGTAAATTTAATGAAACGAGACTTATCCGCATATCCGGAAGGTAGCTTGAAAATAATACATACGATTATTGCGTCGTCTGTGCAATATAAACATGTCAAACAATTGTCTGGTTTCTATATTGTCTCTATATTGAATTTTTGAGAGAGAATGCATATTATTGCAAGCCGTAATTTATGTCGTAAAACTGTAACCGAGACGATATCGCATATTGCAAATTTTAAAAAGACACTATATTGTAAATCTTTTTAGATTGAGGACAAAGCCAGTATAATACCTTTGGTCGCTGGCATGCGTAAAGATGTTCTGTCTCTGATTTCTGAGGTGAGTTTTATTGTCGTGTTGTCTGTTTTATATAAATTGTTTTTTTTTTATGTTGTAAATTCTTCAAAATGTTTTATTTTTGTGCATTTAGGGTATTGCTCTAGTTTGGGAAAGCTACAAACTTGATCAATACGTACAACGTCTATCCGATGCAGTCGTTTCTTTTCAAGAAAGGGTGGAAGATCTTTTGGTTGTGGAGGAACAGCTGGATGTAGACGTTCGTTCTCTCGAAACGTGTCCCTATTCAGCGAACACGTTCGCCGACATATTATCCAAGATTCAGAAATCGGTAGACGAACTGTCCTTAAAGAATTACTCCAATCTGCACATCTGGGTGGTGAGGCTCGATGAAGAAGTGGAAAAGAATTTGGCCGCCAGATTGGAAGCTGGAATAAAAGCGTGGACCGACGCTCTGACCGGTCACAAGAAGGAAGTGGACCTGAGCATGGATACGGACGCTCCTGCGCAACCGACACACAAACCCGGCGGTGATCCCAAAATTCAGAATCAGATTCACGAAGTCCGAATCACCAATCAGACGATGTATTTGTATCCGAGCATCGAGGACGCAAGATTTCAGATAATGCAACAATTGTTTGCGTGGCAAGCGATCGTCACCTCCCAAGTCCGTCTTCAGAGTTCGAGATATCAAGTCGGACTGGACAAACCGGAATCGGGTACGTATAGAAATTTGCTCACGAAGTTACCGTCGGGAAAACAACCGCTCGAGGCAGCTTACGAAGCAGTTGAATCGAAAATGAAGGATGTCACCGATTACGTCGACGAATGGCTGCGTTATCAAGCTCTCTGGGATTTGCAACCTGGCAATCTTTACGGCAAGTTGGGCGAGAATATTAACTTGTGGATGAAGTGTCTGAATGATATCAAGAAAACGAGAACCACCTTCGATACTTCCGACACGAGACGCGAATTCGGACCTGTGATCATAGACTTCGCGAAGGTGCAGAGCAAGGTGTCGCTCAAATATGACTCGTGGCACAAAGAGACACTGGGCAAATTCGGAACGCTTCTGGGCAACGAAATGGCTAGTTTTCACGCTCAGGTTTCGAAGTCCAGGAGCGATCTAGAACAACAGTCTATCGAAGCGGCCAGCACATCCGACGCGGTCGGTTTTATAACGTACGTGCAATCCCTGAAACGCAAAATGAAAGCCTGGGAGAAACAGGTGGACATATATCGCGAGGGTCAACGAATACTTGAACGTCAGAGATTCCAATTTCCGTCTTCTTGGCTACACGTGGATAATATAGAAGGAGAATGGGGCGCTTTCAACGAGATTATTAAGCGCAAAGACACGAGCATTCAGACTCAAGTTGCGTCTCTGCAAATGAAAATCGTTGCCGAAGACAAAGCGGTCGAAACGAGAACAACCGACTTTCTCAGCGACTGGGAAAGAGGTAAGCCCGTGGAGGGTCATCTGCGACCGGACGACGCCTTGCAACAGCTGCAATTGTTTGAGAGCAAATTCGCCAGGCTCAAAGAAGAAAGAGACAACGTCGCCAAGGCCAAAGAGGCGTTGGAATTGCAAGAACCAGGTGGAATATCGACCAGCGAGGATAGAATGCAGGTGGTGTTCGAGGAGTTGCAAGATCTGAGAGGAGTTTGGTCAGAACTGTCGAGAATATGGGCCCAAATCGACGAGACGCGTGAGAAACCCTGGCTCTCGGTCCAACCGCGAAAGTTGCGTCAACAATTGGACACAATGATGGCCCAATTGAAGGAACTGCCAGCGAGATTAAGACAATACTCATCGTACGAATACGTGAAGAAAATGTTACAGAGTTACACGAAGGTGAACATGCTGATTGTGGAACTCAAATCCGACGCGCTCAAAGAAAGACACTGGAAACAACTGACTAAGCAGCTCAGAGTGAACTGGGTACTTAGCGAGCTCACCCTCGGTCAGGTTTGGGACGTGAATCTTCAGAAAAACGAAGGTATAGTCAAGGATATTATACTCGTAGCTCAAGGAGAAATGGCGCTCGAGGAGTTCTTGAAACAGGTGCGCGAATCTTGGCAAACGTACGAGTTGGATTTGATAAATTATCAAAATAAATGCAGACTTATTCGCGGCTGGGACGATTTGTTCAACAAGGTGAAGGAACACATCAATTCGGTGGCTGCCATGAAATTGTCGCCGTATTACAAAGTATTCGAGGAGGAAGCTTTAACTTGGGAGGAAAAATTGAACCGAATCAACGCTCTCTTCGACGTGTGGATAGACGTGCAACGTCGATGGGTTTATCTCGAGGGCATATTTTCCGGTAGCGCAGACATCAAGACCTTGTTGCCGGTTGAAACATCGCGTTTCCAAAGTATCAGTTCTGAATTTCTGGGACTGATGAAGAAGGTATCGAAATCTCCCATGGTCACGGACGTACTGAACATTCCTGGCGTTCAAAGAGCGCTCGAGCGTCTCGCGGATCTTCTCGGCAAGATACAGAAAGCGCTCGGAGAATATTTGGAGAGAGAACGTACATCATTTCCGAGATTTTACTTCGTCGGCGACGAAGATTTGCTCGAGATCATTGGCAACAGCAAAAATGTCGCGAGGTTGCAGAAACACTTCAAGAAGATGTTTGCCGGTGTGGCCGCGATTCTGTTGAACGACGACAACACCGTTATTACCGGCATCGCTTCGCGCGAAGGCGAAGAAGTTCTGTTCCAGAATCCCGTGTCCACGGTCGATCATCCGAAGATCAACGAATGGCTGACGCTCGTTGAGAAAGAAATGCGCGTTACGCTCGCCTCGAGTCTTGCTAAGGCAGTACAGGACATCAAACAGTTCAAGGACGGCAATATCAATCCAACCGCGTTTATGTCGTGGTGTGACAACTATCAGGCGCAGATAATAGTTCTGGCCGCTCAGATCCTGTGGTCGGAGGACGTGGAAGCGGCTCTTCACGAGGTGCAAGCGGATCCGAATAAAAATTCATTAGAAAGAGTTCTGATACAAGTGGAGGGTACGTTGAACGTCCTGGCCGATTCTGTTCTTCAGGAACAGCCGCCGTTGAGACGAAAGAAATTGGAACATTTGATTAACGAATTCGTGCACAAACGCACGGTAACCAGACGTCTGATTGCGAACAGAGTTTCGAATCCGAAGGCGTTCGAGTGGCTGTGCGAAATGAGATTCTACTTCGATCCCCGACAAACGGAAGTGTTGCAGCAACTCACGATACACATGGCGAACGCCAAGTTCTTCTACGGATTTGAATACTTGGGAGTGCAGGATCGATTGGTACAGACGCCGTTGACTGACAGATGCTATCTGACAATGACGCAGGCGTTAGAGGCTCGACTTGGTGGATCGCCTTTCGGACCGGCTGGTACCGGAAAGACCGAATCCGTAAAAGCATTGGGTCATCAGCTCGGAAGATTCGTATTGGTGTTCAATTGCGACGAAACATTCGATTTCCAAGTAAGTAAAAAAAAAAAAGATCAGCTTCGTAAATTAATATATTTTAAAGAAAAATTTATATAAATTTTTACGATGTAACGTTTACTTCTACGCAGGCAATGGGTCGCATATTTGTCGGTCTCTGTCAAGTGGGCGCGTGGGGTTGCTTCGACGAGTTCAATCGTTTGGAAGAGCGCATGTTATCCGCCGTTTCTCAGCAAGTACAAACGATTCAGGAAGCTCTCAAGAGCCAAATGGAAGGCAAGAAAGAAGGAACGCTCTGCGTCGAATTGGTGGGGAAACAAGTCAACGTTTCCACGGATATGGCGATATTCATCACCATGAATCCGGGATACGCCGGACGTTCGAATCTGCCTGACAATCTGAAGAAGCTCTTCAGATCGCTCGCCATGACCACACCTGATCGACAACTGATTGCCGAGGTGATGCTCTTCAGTCAAGGTTTTCGATCGGCGGAGAAATTGGCTTGCAAGATCGTTCCGTTCTTCAAGTGCGTATATTTATTGAGTTAACATATTATATTTTACACAAGCAAAGATTTTTCTCGCACATCGATCGAATTTCTGATTTCCTCTTACTTAGACTATGCGACGAACAACTCTCCAATCAATCCCATTACGATTTCGGATTGCGCGCGCTCAAATCCGTTCTGATCTCAGCCGGAAATGTGAAACGTGATCGCATACAGAAGATCAAAGAAGGCATGCAAAGTCGCGGCGAGACAAACATCGACGAAGCCTCGATCGCTGAAAATCTACCCGAGCAAGAGATACTTATTCAATCCGTATGCGAAACAATGGTTCCCAAATTGGTTGCCGAGGACATTCCATTACTGTTCAGTTTGCTCAGCGACGTATTCCCTAACGTGAATTACACTCGCGCGGAAATGAAGGGTAGGTAATTTGTTCTGATAAAAAAAGCGGGGTATAAATAAAAAAAATTCACTCCACACACGTAAATCCATATTTTCACACGCATACGCGCACTTTGTTCCAGGACTGAAAGACCAGATCAGGAAAGTATGCGCGGAGGATTATCTGGTGTGCGGCGAAGGAGATGAACAAGGCGGTGCCTGGCAAGAAAAGGTAATAGTTTTCTTTTCTTTTTTTTTTTTTTTTAATAAGACTTGGAATATATCTTTGCACTTTGTGTAACATATATATGAGATACTAATATAATTTACACATTGATAATACATAAAATTATAAATTGTGTATATTTTAAACTTTTGTATATAAAAAGAATATAATACGCAATTCATATTTTTAACGCACATATTACACAATGCTTTAAGACTTGATTTTCATATTGTTTATGCATGCAAAGGAATCTGTTGGTGAAACGTGGGTAGAAAAGGTGAGAGTGATTGGATTATAAATATGTGTCTGTGGTTGTCACGTCTTTGTACTCGTCTTTTATTTACTATTCTATTCGCTTTGTATCATTAAATGTTAATAAATATCGCAGCTATTCCTTTTTATACATATTTTCTATGTTCTTTTTTTTATTTTTTACGTATATTTTCTATATAATTAATTTACATTTCCTCTGTAGGTGCTTCAATTGTATCAAATTTGCAACTTAAATCACGGATTAATGATGGTCGGCCCAAGCGGATCCGGCAAAACCATGGCGTGGAAAGTGCTGCTCAAAGCGTTGGAGCGATTCGAAGGCGTGGAAGGTGTCGCCCACGTGATCGATCCCAAAGCTATCAGCAAGGAGACGCTTTACGGCGTGTTAGATCCAAACACGCGCGAATGGACGGACGGTCTGTTCACGCATATACTCAGAAAGATAATCGACAATGTCCGAGGTGAGATCAACAAGAGACAATGGATCATATTCGACGGAGACGTAGATCCGGAATGGGTCGAGAACTTGAACTCGGTGTTGGACGACAACAAGCTTTTAACTTTGCCCAATGGCGAACGCTTGAGTTTGCCGCCGAACGTCAGAGTCATGTTCGAAGTGCAGGATTTGAAATACGCCACCTTAGCTACCGTGTCCCGTTGCGGTATGGTTTGGTTCTCGGAGGATGTGCTGTCGACGGAAATGATATTTGAGAATTATATGCTACGACTGCGAAACATTCCGCTGGAAGACGGCGAGGAAGATCATCTCGGCAAGAAAGCTACCGAAAAAGAAGACACCTTGTCACCTGCGTTGTCGGTGCAGAGAGAAGTAGCGAGCATCATGCAGAGTTACTTCGCGCCTGACGGTTTGGTAGTAAGATGCTTGGAGTACGCAATGAAGCAGGAACACATAATGGATTTCACGCGTTTGCGTGCTCTCAGTTCTCTGTTCTCTATGTTGAATCAAGCCGTTCGCAATGTTTTGCAATACAATCACTCCCATACAGATTTTCCTTTGCCGAGCGAGCAATTGGAACGTTACATGCCCAAGTGTTTGGTCTACGCTCTGTTGTGGAGTTTCGCAGGAGACGCGAAATTAAAAGTTAGATCCGACTTGGGTGACTTTATCAGATCTATCACGACTGTACCGTTACCATCTCAAAATAATATACCGATTATAGACTTTGAGGTGAACATACACGGAGAATGGTTACCTTGGAGCAACAAGGTTCCCCAAATCGAAGTTGAAACTCACAAAGTAGCTAGTCCAGATATTGTTGTGCCAACTTTAGACACCGTGCGACACGAGAGTTTGTTGTATACTTGGTTAGCTGAACATAAGCCATTGGGTATGTGTGTAATATTTATTTTTTATTACAGTAAAGAATTTATTTATTTAACATTTATGTAAAAATTTACAGTACTGTGCGGACCACCCGGTTCCGGTAAGACGATGACACTGTTCTCTGCTTTGCGAGCTTTACCAGACATGGAAGTTGTCGGACTTAATTTCTCATCCGCCACAACGCCTGAATTGTTGCTTAAAACTTTCGATCATTACTGCGAATATCGCAAAACACCTAACGGGGTCGTACTCTCGCCCGTGCAGTTAGGCAAATGGCTAGTTTTGTTCTGCGACGAGATCAATTTACCCGATATGGATAATTACGGGACGCAACGTGTGATATCGTTTCTGAGACAATTGGTCGAGCATAAAGGATTTTACAGAACCAGCGATCAGGCGTGGGTCACTTTGGAAAGGATTCAGTTTGTGGGCGCTTGCAATCCACCTACAGATCCCGGAAGAAAACCTCTAAGTCACAGATTCCTGCGACACGTGCCTGTCATTTATGTCGATTATCCTGGAGAAACTTCTCTGAAACAGATTTACGGTACATTCACGCGCGCCATGCTCAGGTAAAGATCTTATTGTGTGTATTTGTATTTTTTTTAATTACTGATGTGTGTAGTGTGTACGCTACAAAAGTATTTTTTTTTTTGTTTTAACAAAATTACAGATTAACACCCAATCTGAGAGGTTACGCCGAACCCTTGACAAACGCGATGGTGGAGTTTTATCTGGCCTCTCAGGAGAGATTTACTCAGGATATGCAACCGCACTACGTGTATTCGCCGCGTGAAATGACACGCTGGGTGCGCGGTATTTGTGAAGCCATCAGACCTCTCGATAATCTCTCCGTCGAAGGTCTGGTGCGTTTGTGGGCTCACGAAGCTCTTCGATTGTTCCAAGACAGATTGGTGGAGGAATCCGAAAGAGCGTGGACGAACAAGAACATAGACACTGTAGCTCTGAAACATTTTATGTCGGTTGACAGAGAGAAAGCGCTGGCAAGACCGATCTTGTACAGCAACTGGTTGTCAAAGGATTACGTGCCGGTGAACAGAGAGGAGTTGAGAGATTACGTTCGGGCGAGATTAAAAGTATTCTACGAAGAGGAATTGGATGTGCCGTTGGTACTCTTCGACGAGGTTCTTGAACATGTTCTTCGCATTGACAGAATTTTCCGACAGCCTCAGGGACACTTGTTGCTCATTGGTGTCTCTGGCGCTGGAAAGACAACTCTGTCGCGATTTGTTGCATGGATGAATGGCTTGTCTATCTTCCAAATTAAGGTATATTTATGTTTTGCATTGCCTTGTGAGAATTAAATTTCATGACGCATGTTTTCTTTGAACGTTTTGTTTTTCTACTTTTAACGAATATCTTTGAAAGGTTCACAACAAGTACACCGGTGAAAATTTCGACGATGATTTACGGCAAGTGTTGAGACGATCCGGTTGCAAAGACGAGAAAATAGCTTTCATTCTCGACGAGTCTAATGTGTTAGATTCTGGTTTCCTCGAGCGTATGAACACGTTGCTTGCCAACGGAGAAGTGCCTGGATTATTTGAGGGTGACGAGTATACAACGTTAATGACGCAATGTAAGGAAGGTGCTCAACGAGAAGGCCTAATGCTAGACTCAAACGAAGAACTTTACAAATGGTTCACCGGTCAAGTTATGAAGAATCTCCATGTGGTGTTCACAATGAATCCCAGCACGGACGGCCTGAAAGATCGCGCGGCGACATCGCCGGCGTTATTCAATAGATGCGTGCTGAATTGGTTCGGTGATTGGTCGGACAACGCGTTGTTCCAAGTCGGGAAGGAGTTTACCAATCGCGTGGATCTGGAAAGACCGATGTGGAAGTGTCCGGATTTCTTCCCGTCCGTGTGCTCTCTTATTCCGTCGCAACCGTCTCACAGAGACGCCGTTATAAATGCGTGCGTTTACGTTCATCAAACCTTACACAAAGCGAACACGCGACTGGCCAAGAGAGGAGCCAGAACTATGGCGATCACACCGCGACATTATTTAGATTTTATCAATCACTTCGTTAAACTGTATCAGGAAAAGAGAAGCGATTTGGAGGAACAGCAGTTGCATCTGAATGTTGGTTTAAGTAAAATTGCCGAGACTGTGGAACAGGTGGAGGAGATGCAGAAGAGCTTAGCTGTTAAATCACAAGTAAGACACAGGCTAAATCTGAGAAAAATATCTCTGTTGATATATATATACAGAGAACAGAACTTTGCGTATCTACATATTATTCTATTTTTTTTTTTGTCTTAGGAACTGCAAGCTAAAAACGAAGCTGCCAATGCGAAATTGAGGCAAATGGTCAAAGACCAGCAGGAAGCGGAGAAGAAGAAGGTACAAAGTCAGGAGATTCAGCAGCAGTTGGCTATTCAAACGGTGGCTATTAATCAGAAGAGAGACGATGTCATGGCCGATCTCGCATTAGTCGAACCAGCTGTTATTGATGCCCAAAATGGTACGTGTGTTCAACTTTTTATCCTTTGTTGTATCGTTGCAACACAAGTTTCACGATAAATATTTGAAAAATCACAATATACCGTTAGTATCGAATTGCATTTAAATAACATTGTTGCATTGTTATTGACAACATTTAAAAAAAATCACGGAGGCAGCATTTCGTACGTGAATTTACGTCTCGTCTTGTTTTTGCTTGATGATGATTTCGCGATTTGCTCGGATATATATATATAAATGTCGCATTGAAAATATATCTGCAATGAGTACAGCCGTGAAGGCGATTAAACGGCAGCATCTCGTCGAAATTCGCTCAATGGCGAATCCACCCGCCGTCGTAAAACTGGCGTTAGAATCTATATGCCTGTTACTCCAAGAGAACGCTGCTGATTGGAAACAGATTCGCGCGACTATAATGAAGGACAGCTTCATTCCCACTATCGTCAACTTCAACACGGATAACATCACGTAAGGGACAACAATATGTCGGGTCGGTTTGTTCGACGCTCGCCTGGGATTCTAATAAAGGAAACACACAAATTTATTTTTTTTTGTAACAGCTTGATACATACGTGTTCTTCTTTTAACACGTTGACACTTCCAGCGTACTCACAAAACTGAAAAAAAAAAAAAAAATGTGTACATACAATGTTATACGTACAAGTTACTCACACATATATATATGTTGCCTCTCTCTCGAAATTTTAACTAAAAAAAATACTTAACTACGAAGGAAGGCTGTTGCAACCTTGATATCTTCTTCTTCTAGCGTAACTTTAATGTTTGTGTTCATCTAATGTGCCCGCACACACACACACACACACTCTTTTCCTTCCTCCTGCTACTATAATGCTCTTTGATTTTTCGTACAGCGGTGAAATCGATAAAGAAACAACATTTAGTCGAGGTTCGCTCGATGGCGAACCCACCGGCGGTCGTGAAGCTCGCGTTGGAGTCTATTTGCTTGTTGCTCGGCGAAAACGCCAGCGACTGGAAATCGATCCGCGCAGTCATCATGAGAGACAATTTTATCAATACCATTGTCTCAAATTTCAGTACCGAGGACATTACGTAAGCATGCATCCAATCAATGTTTTTGTTCTCTCACTCCAGTGGTTATTTTCAGTTTTTTTTTTTTTTTTTTTTGAGTTGAAAATTTAAAAAAAGAAAGTGTGTTTTTTATAAAAGTAGATTTTTCTTTTATAATTCAAGTACGTAGTAAGTTTTTCTCTCTGCGCGCGGTAAAAAATTTTATACGCATTTTTTTTTTGCATTTTATTTAACAAGCACTTTCCACACCGCTTTCAAACACGCGGCATAAATGCAAGTTACTTAACAAGTCTCAACAAGTGTTAATTGCATAACTACTGTGTTATTTTTACTGCATGTTAACAAACGACAAAATTTGCACTAATTTAAGCGAATCTAAATTCTCTTGTAGACAATAACGATGTGTCTGCATAAAGTCCCATGTTCTAATAAAACATTAACATTGCGTTAATAAATAGAGCACATTTTTTTTATTATTTTTTATTATATCAACATTGGAAAATTAATTTCAAACAAATAATGAAAATTTTATTCAGCGACGAGGTGAGAGAAAAAATGAAGAGCCGCTATCTGAGCAACCCCGATTACAACTTCGAAAAAGTAAATCGCGCCAGTCTGGCGTGCGGTCCCATGGTGAAATGGGCCATAGCGCAGGTAAAGTTTGTGATGAAACATAAAAAAAATTGTACAACACATCGTACAGACAAAAATCTGTTAAAGAAAAAATCTCTTGAGAGATTACCCAAAAATGTACTTTCAGATTGAGTACGCCGACATGTTGAAGCGAGTCGAACCGCTGCGTGATGAACTTTATTCTCTGGAACGACAAGCGGAAACTAACAAACTGAAAGGAGAAGAGGTGAAGAATCTGATCGCACAATTGGAACAGAGCATAGCGTCGTACAAGGAGGAATACGCTCAACTTATCTCGCAAGCACAAGCCATAAAAGCCGATCTTGAGAGCGTGCAAGCCAAGGTGGACAGATCGATCGCGTTATTGAAATCTTTGGTCATAGAGAGGGAGAGATGGGAAGCGACAAGCGAGACGTTTAAGAGCCAGATGTCCACAATAATCGGAGACGTTCTGTTATCTTCCGCTTTCTTGGCTTACGCTGGATATTTTGATCAACATGTAAGTTGTACAGGTGTTTTATCTTCTGATAGTTTGCTGACGAAACATTGCGTCGGTCTGCGATAGATAGATCTGGTTTTAATCGTAATTTTTGACATTATTTTTCTTTCAGTATCGCCAAAACCTATTTAGCACATGGTGCCAACATCTGCAACACGCCAATTTGCAATTTAGAGCGGATATCGCGAGAACGGAATATCTGTCCAATCCGGACGAACGTTTGAGATGGCAGGCGAACGCGTTGCCGACTGACGATTTGTGTACCGAGAACGCGATTATGTTGAAACGTTTCAACAGATATCCGCTGATCATCGATCCGTCCGGTCAGGCAACGGAATTTATCTTGAACGAATTCAAGGACAGGAAGATCACGAAGACCAGCTTTTTGGACGATTCGTTCAGAAAGAATCTCGAGAGCGCTCTGCGCTTCGGTAATCCCTTGCTGGTCCAGGATGTAGAGAATTACGATCCTATACTGAATCCCGTGTTAAATCGAGAACTCAGACGAACGGGAGGACGCGTGCTGATCACACTGGGCGATCAGGACATAGATCTTTCGCCGTCCTTCGTTATCTTCTTGTCAACGAGAGACCCCACGGTAGAATTTCCTCCGGACATCTGCTCGCGCGTGACATTCGTCAATTTCACCGTCACCAGAAGCTCCTTGCAAAGTCAGTGCTTGAATCAGGTGCTGAAGTCCGAACGTCCGGACATCGACGAGAAGAGATCCGATCTGCTTAAACTTCAAGGCGAGTTCCATCTGAGATTGCGACAACTCGAGAAATCTCTGTTGCAAGCGCTAAACGACGCCAAGGGCAAGATCCTCGACGACGATTCCGTAATCACCACTCTCGAGACTCTGAAACAGGAGGCTGCCGACATCAGTAAAAAGGTTGAGGAAACGGACAAGGTTATAGCCGAGATTGAGACAGTTTCCCAACAGTACATGCCTTTATCTCAGGCGTGTTCCAACATGTATTTCACCATGGACAGTCTCAATCAGGTTCACTTTTTGTATCAGTATTCGTTGAAAATGTTTCTGGACATTTTCACGTCCGTATTGTCGCAAAATCCAAAACTGTCCGGCGTGTCGGATTACAGTCAGCGGCTCACGCTAATCACGCGCGATCTGTTCTCCGTCTGTTACGAGCGAGTCGCGCGCGGAATGTTGCACACAGACAGATTGACGTTCGCTCTCTTGCTATGTCGTATTCATCTGAAGGGTATTCCGACGGAATCCACTTACGACGGCGAGTTCACGTTCTTCCTGCGCGGTAAAGAAGGCGTGCTGAACATCCGCGCGCCGCCAGTTCCACATCTCAGCTCGGAACAGCAAGAGGCGATGATGCGCCTCAGCATAAGACTGCCCGCCTTCAAGAAACTCGCTGAGAAGATTCACGAGAATCCAGAATTTGGCGCGTGGCTGCAGTCGCCCACTCCCGAGACGTGTGTGCCAAAACTCTGGGACGAGGAAAAATTGCTCTCGCCTACGGGCACGGCGATGCATCAGTTGTTGATAATACAAGCTTTCCGACCGGATCGCGTGATCGCGGCTGCGTCTCTCGTTGTAGCCTCAACTTTCGGCGAGTCCTTCATGCCGGCCGCCGAAGCCGAACTCGACTTCACGTCCGTCGTGGAGAACGAACTGAAAGCGACTGTGCCCGCTTTATTGTGCTCCGTGCCAGGTTTCGACGCGTCAGGTCGGGTGGACGATATGGCTGCGGAATTGGGCAAGCAAATAGCCAGCATCGCAATCGGATCCGCGGAGGGATTCAATCAAGCCGACCGGGCTATAAACATGGCTGTGAAAGCTGGCAGATGGGTGCTGTTGAAGAACGTACATCTCGCACCGCAATGGTTGGTGCAGTTAGAAAAGAAACTGCACAGTCTTCAGCCGCACACTAGCTTCCGATTATTCTTAACGATGGAGATCAATCCTAAGGTACCCGTGAATTTACTGAGAGCTGGTAGGATCTTCGTGTTCGAACCGCCTCCCGGTATACGCGCCAACTTGCTACGTACGTTCAGTACCGTGCCCGCGTCGAGAATGATGCGAGCGCCCAACGAACGGGCCCGTCTCTACTTCCTTCTAGCGTGGTTCCACGCGATTGTTCAAGAACGATTGCGTTACGCGCCGCTTGGTTGGGCGAAACACTACGAGTTCAACGAGAGCGATCTAAGAGTCGCTTGTGACACTCTGGACACGTGGATCGAAACCACGGCTATGGGCAGAACAAATCTACCACCTGAGAAGGTACCGTGGGACGCGCTGGTTACGCTTTTGTCTCAATGCATCTACGGTGGCAAAATCGACAATGATTTCGATCAGCGTCTTCTGGCTTCTTTCCTGCGCAAACTCTTCACACCACGCTCGTTCGAAGCTGATTTCGCCCTGGTCGCCAATATCGACGGACTGCAGGGTAATCAAAGACACATCACGATGCCGGACGGTACTAGACGCGATCACTTTTTGAAGTGGATCGAGGCTCTCTCCGACAGACAAACACCTTCCTGGCTCGGTCTGCCGAACAACGCGGAAAAAGTGCTTCTAACCACGAGAGGAACCGATTTGGTTTCCAAGCTCCTCAAGATGCAACAGTTGGAGGACGAGGACGAGCTGGCGTATTCGAACGAGGAATCTTTGGACACACCAAGAGAAGCCGAAGCGGACGGCCGGCCATCCTGGATGAGGACTCTGCACAATTCGGCTTCCACTTGGTTGCAGTTACTTCCAAAGAACTTGCCGACCCTGAAGAGAACGGTCGAAAATATCAAGGATCCGTTGTATAGATACTTCGAGAGAGAAGTCAACAGCGGGGCGAAATTGCTTCAGGATGTTATTCACGATTTGGAGGATGTCGTGTTGATTTGTCAAGTGAGATTTTTATTTTTGTTTTTTTAATATAAAATAACGCTAATGTTGTTCGGAATAATTTGCACTTTTGTATATTATTTCCGACAGGGCGAGAAGAAACAAACCAATTATCATCGAACAATGCTGTCCGAATTAGTAAAAGGTATATTACCCGGTGGTTGGAGGAGATACACCGTGCCAAGAGGTTGTACCGTTATACAATGGATCACCGACTTCAGTCACAGAGTCTCCCAGCTACAGGAAGTCTCTCGTTTGGTCTCTCAAGGCGGAGCGAAGGAGATAAAGGTTTAATTTTTTCGAATTGTCTTTTGGTTGTTTTTGGTCCATTCAGTTCAGGATATTTTATCATTGGATTTTCTTGAATTGGTTTTTTTTTATATTTAACTCGTTCAAAATTAATCGATGATTGCAGAGTTTCCCCGTCTGGCTCGGAGGTTTGCTGAATCCCGAGGCTTATATTACCGCAACTAGGCAATGCATCGCGCAGGCTAACAGCTGGTCGCTCGAGGAATTGCAATTAAATGTAACTATCGGCGACGGCGACAACATCGCCACGGACGATTGCTCTTTTGCCGTAACCGGTTTGAAGTTGCAAGGTGCGCAATGTAAGGATAATCAGTTGTATCTGACATCCACCATAATGACCGATTTGCCGGTCACCATGCTTAGGTGGATGCGATCGTCCACGGAGGATATACGAAAGAACAAATTGTCCTTACCGGTTTATTTGAACAGCACTCGTACCGAACTGCTATTTACTGTCGATTTGAATATCGCTCCTAGTCAAGAACCGCACAGTTTCTACGAAAGAGGAGTCGCAGTCTTAACATCCACCGCTTTGAATTAATAGTTACATAATACTTATATAAACAATTGTTTAGCGCGAATTATAATCGCTTAAATAACACACACACACACACACACAACACACAAACACACACACACATACAAAAAAGTACTTTACGAATTCACAAAAAAAAAAACAAAAAAAAAAAAATTAAAATACGTTGCGTTGCGCGTTACCGCGTTTGTAAAGAAAAGAAAGAACTCGGTAACACGCGACTCTCGCGACGCAAGTCTGAAAGACATTTAAAGAGAAAAGTATATAAAAGAATATATATATATATATATTTTACAAAAAAACATTGCTTTCTCCAAAGGATTTTCGCCGAAAGTAACGATCGGAATCAGGTAAAAACTTTCGGCGACATACACACACACATATATAGAGCATAATTAAATGTGTATCATTCATTCAAAAGAGAATTTTAACAAAAATTTTCACGAAGGAGGTTGTAATGTGTATATATATAGTTTATTTAATTTTTGTATACGTTCGAATTTTAAAACCTATGGCTTTCTGTAATAAAGTTACATTACGTTCGCCGCGATGTAAGTATCAATAAATATATTACAGTGTTTATATAACAAGAATCTTAATGGCATCTAATAAAGTCGTACTATAACAAAACTACATTTTCTGTCACTTTGTATTATTTATTATTCATATCTATATCCTAGATCTATATCTTCACCACGTGTGTTTACTTTTATTTGTTTCAGTTTTACGTGTCTCTGTGTGTTACGTGTTATCTCAAAATTGATTAAAAATATTCGTATCTAAAGACTTTCACATCAAAAGAGAGTCTTGTAATATTGATTGATCAAGATTGTGCGTTATCTCACCGTTTTGTTTCTTCAAAAGAAAGAAAACGTCTTGGAATCTCAACGTGACCGGGTCTTATCGTCTCATTGTTTTCTCAATCTACTATCTTGATGTGTAATTCTAGATATTACAGGCATTCTTTTTTTGGTAAAAGATTATTTCTGTTTATATTTCAATGACGCATTTATTTTTCTAAAGCATTAACTCGCACATGTTGTCTTATCGCGGTATCTTTTTTTTAAAATTTTACAAGCGGACACGGATAGGATTTTAGATTGGTGTGCGTGAGAGAAAAACCCCCCCACAACGCTTTTTCTTTAAACTTTATTTCTTATTATTACAATCACCAAGTGCAATGAATTACATATTATTACCGGTGTTTTCTGTACAACATTATTAATTACGAAGTTATTTTGCCCTTCATTTCTAATCACTAAACTCAACGAATTACATTTAGTATGCTATCTTCTGTACAGTATTGTTATTACTACGAAGTTATTTTTACCAAGGTACACGTAATTTAGAGTCAGAGATGTCTTTTTTGTTGTAGACATTTTGACAATGTGAAAAAATTGAAAAGAGACATTTGTTTTTTTTTATGTAAGTATGTACGTACGCATTCGTGCGTGCAACTTGCAAGTGGAACAATAGAAATTTACCATAAGCAAAAATCTCCGCATCAATAGGAAATACAGTAATTTCTGATGAAGAAAGATGATTGATATGGGAAAATTCTATTGAAAAACGATTACATATAATGTAAGATATATTTTATTCAGTTTTTTATTCTTGAAAACACACATCACATATGTTATATATTTATGTTATATATTTCCTGGTTCTTCGCATGTTCGTTACAATATAAAGTAGAACATATATATACACACACATATTGACAGATATCTGTTACAACAGAACTCTCTCATTATTATCATAAAATATAAATGTTGTTTTTTATTTTATTGTGTCGGTTCGTAGTCTATAACAATATATATGAATTCACGTACATACATATCAGAAAAATGCATAATAATTGTACACCTTGAATTTTTTGCAAATAATAATCTTTGTCTCATATTCTCCAAGACTGTGGAAACCGAGAAAAATTTGTTGAAGGCTACAATTTGTTTTTTTACTTAATATATACAGACGAAGAAATGTGTGCAAGAGTGGATTAAATTAAACATATGAACGCATAATATTAGAACATGTAATACACATTAATGCGACGTTATTTGCATACGTGATATACATAAAATCAGAGAAAGATTTTTTATCGAATCTTTTCTGAATGTACGAGAGTTAAATATTATTTATACATATACAGAAACTTTTGATTTCCAGAGAGAAATAAAACCGTATGGATTTCTTTTTATTCGCAATTAATTGTTAAATAAATATTAATTTCGTTTGCTTCTGTTGTGTGTTTTATACAAAAATGACAGAGTTCGAGGTCGTTCATGCAAGTTTATCACCCGTGATTTTTAGAAACGCTATTACATAATTCACAAGTCAACGTGCTTTATGCTATATATATGTACTATCAATTTCTCGATTATCGAATTATTAAATGTTTGTTTTTCTCTTTTAACAAAGAAAATTTTATTAATGAAATTTGTTAAGCTGTCTACTTTCTTCGACATACTTTTTTCGTATTTCCACCAAATACGTTTGTATTACAAATTCTATACATCGTGTTTGTTAAATATACGTCAAAAACTCAATGAGAAAAAGAGACCTCGTGATAATCAATAAATACGAAAAAATTGTATGGGCCAATATTAATCATCAGTTGTTGTGCTTAATTTTATTCACAGTGTATATACGGTCGCTTATTTTAATTCATTTCTCCTGTGACAAACATCATGGTGAGAATTAGGGATGAGCATATGATATCGATATATCGACAATATAGATATAATTCTTTTGATATTTGATATTTTAGTATATCTCTCTCGATGTTCTGTTATTGATAATATCAAAAAGATATCGACAATTTTATTTGATATTGAATATCGCATTGTTTGATCGGAATTATTGAATATATATATATATTCAATAATTATTAATATTGACAATATCAAATAAAATTATTGATATCTTTTTGATATTATCAATAACAGAATATCGATATTAAAATATCAAATATCAAAAGAATTATATCCATATTGTCGATATATCATATGCTCATCCCTAGTGAGAATATATTTATTATTATTGTGTAACTGCTGCTGATGCGCGACTTTGTTTTTCATGTCGATTTTCCTTTCAATTTTTGTACCCACTGATGAAGACTCAATCTGGAGTCGAAACGTTTGCGAATTAATAATAAAGTTTTGATTTATTGATTGGCAACATACATCTGCTGTTTTGCCTCGTATTGGCCCGTACAATTTTTTCGTATTTATTAAATACGAAAAAAATACGTGTCGTGTGTCTCTTGTGGAAAAAGACTCACAAACATAAATCTTACAAATAATTATATAAACCTCACACTACAATTTACTTGCAAGGTCAAGAGCCTTAAAACGGAAAACTGTGTATTATCTAGACTTTCTCTAACATCAACTGATCTTTATCGACAGGTACCCTGTGGATGTGCTCTGTTTCTATCTTTACAAATATATTGAATATTACAATTAATTGTAGTGTTACATGTATTTTACATTTATAAACAAGAAGTTTCGGAGTTATTTATTTGCGTTTACGGTATAATGAAATTTCGTAAGGGATTATCGCTATATAAAAAGTTATCTTATGATAAATGCAACGGCTTTGCATTTCGTAAATAAATTTTGAGACGTCGCTTCGTGCTTACTGGCCTATTCCTCTAGACCTATCGCAGATGTAAAACTATATATGTCAATCACACACAGGCACAAAACGATTACTAAGCGTTGAGTTTCAAAACCTGATTATAGAGACGCACAATCGACTCTTTGAACGCGGCCATATTGTTTTGTTCTACATTTAAGCGACAAAAATCAATGTTTTTAGCGAGAAATGAATTAAACGAATGCAGTCTCAGAGTGATCTTATGCAGGAAGATCGAGATAATTTCATTATACGCATAAAAGCAAATACATATTGATAGAAATATTACGTATTACTTGTCGTGTTGGGGAAAATCAATTTCCTATCCCTTTCTACATTTTCGAGAATCATAAACGCCATACATTTGGAGGTTTTTTTACATAAACTTTCTTTCAATTACTATTAAAACTTAGGAAAAATTCTCGGATACTCGTACGATTTTACTGACGAGTGATTTTTTTCCGTGCTCTAACTTATGAACGCTTTTTCATTTATATGACTAGACTTCATGTAATTCGTGTTGCTATTTGTGGTCGCTCAGCTCTGCTATTTGTCATTTTCCTTTTCAACAAATAAATACATCGGACAAGTAAGGATTCACCACGATTCAACTTGCGCTACTACTAATTCTGCTCTTAAAACAAAGCTTTAAAGGACTCGTAGCGCGACTTTGATTTTATCCAAAAATCAGATATATATATTTAAATAGCAACATTTTATTGCAGGTACAATCTACTAACTTCTTTTTACTTCAACATACAAAGATGTTTTTTCGGGTACCGCGTTAGTGTCATTTTTATACCAACGTTTCGTGAACATTTACAGCTCACTTCATCAGGGTTTAAAGAGCAGCCTGATACTTCTTTTTACTTTATTTGCACGTGCATTATTTAACGATTAAACTTTGGCAATTCTTGATATGTCATACGTTTTATGCATAAACAAATTTTCATATAATAATAGTGATTATATATCTATTTGTATGGTGTGTATTGTGTGTACATGCCTGTGTGTACACATAAGATTCATATATTCATATTTCGCAAAATGCGAATACTACCCGTGTAAAAGATCATGACGAAGTACATTCATTGTGTCGGTTACAGAAGAGTATATATATATATATTTTTCTGATTTAAGAAAAACGACTGTAAATTCTTTCGATCAAAAAAGTAAACGATATTTAGATTGTACCTGCGCATCGGTTACATGAGAGTCAGGTCACTAAGTGTTGCGTGATCGCTCAGTCTTTAATAATGATGAGTAGAAAATGCAGTAGATACGATGGATGATTTATTACAATGTTAAGGACACTATGGAATATATGCCTGTACAGTAACTTTCACAGGCTTGCGACACACTCCGCATGTTTTCATATTTTGCGCACATTCCGCACAAGCCAGCAAATGCCCACAAGGAATAAATACCATTCGCAATTCTCTGAGATAGCAAATTTTACACATTCTTGCGCAGTCGCCTAGATTTTCATTGTGCGACGGAGGAGCAAGCTTTTTATCTGTGGATGGATCGTCAGATAAACCCAATGATATGCTTTCAGTATCGTTATCTTCAGATTTTTGCGAAGAACTCCCACTAGCAATACCCTCATCTTCGTCGGCTTTTTCAGATGTTTCATCTGATTTTTGTGATTTCTCGTCTTCTGCGGATGATTTGTTTTGATCATCCTGAAAGAAAAATTATTGACTAATTACATAGCGTAATATCAAGGAAAAAAAAGATCCAAAAGGACCAAGAGGTGTATACGCAAAAATTATACGTTAATTCTTTTTTTCTTTAGAGTCATTGCACAAAAACGTTTCGTCATGCGTTACCGTTAAGTGATTGACTTGAGTGTCTACACGTGTGTACAAAAAAAAAAGAATGTTCCAAAAAATTTAATATTGATAACATATAATATACGTGACTTAGACGTTCAATACTGACCACAGTTACAATTATCATGTTGAAAATGTTAAAAATGTTAAAAATGTGTCACTGATTTTAATGTAGTTCGATAAGATTTGATCTTATAATGGCTGTCGATATTCATATATCCCAGTTTTCAATGTTTTCAATTTGCTGCGTTCAGCAGAACAAGCTGTTTTGTATAGCAATCGAACGTATTTGGCTCTTGCTCTTAGAACCAGAAAATCAACATCGAATGATGACAAGAGATGAGAACTCAGCAATTGATCTGCTGAACGCGGCCAATGATCATTTTATTTGTAAATTATTTATTGTATGACGTCTTCCTTAATTATAATCTGTTTTTTTTTTTCTTATATTAGGAGATGATCTAGAAATGTGGTTTTCACAGAAGACGTGATCTCGCTTGAAAGTTTTAATCGCAATTGTAAGATCGTAAGCGAACTAACTAATCAGAGGCCAGCATTCAGGCAAGAATGCCTGACTTAAGGCGATTTTATGGCGATCGTATGGTACATATACCAAAGTGTACCAAACTATAGTGCGAGTGACTTCAAATTATAGTTTGGTACACTTTGGTATGTGTACCATACGATCGCCAAAAATCGCCTTTACTTACATCCGCTTTGCGGATTAAATTTCTGCTCAAACGTCGTAAGTCACGTTTCTATGAGCTCGTGATAATTTCTGCGCATCTTTAATTAGTGCAGCACGTTTATTTTAGTAGTGCAGTTAAAAAGAACAAACTTAATGAACAGATCGTAACACCTTGTTTCTTCATGTTAAAAGATGTTTTTTATATCTTATATAAAATATAGAACAAAAAGAATTGAATTTTGAGCAACTGTTTTTTTTTTGTTTTTTATTTAAACTCCCAGTATCATTAAAATTTTATCATTAATTATCACACGGTTAACGATTTGAATTAAAAAAGCATTTGAATTAAATTTACACTAATTTAAATACAGAGAAGTTAATATATAGAGCAAAATTCTTTGATGAGAAGAAATGATTTCGCACGAGAAACTTCCCCCAGACAGCACATATTCCCAAAAGATGTCTTACTACCCTTACGAAAAAGAACTACTGCCGATTACATATAAATAAAGTCAGTAATATAAATATTACTGACAATTACATAAGAATATTATTAGGTATTACAGGAATCACTGAGAATATTAGGTGTAAAAAATGACTGGCAATTACACAGAATGCCAGTCATTTTTTCGTACCACTGCCGCAATATATTATTGCCAGTAGTTCTTTTTCGTAAGGGTATCTTTCAAACATCTTTAAAATGTATTTTGATCCTTCCTGTGCTGTCTGCGAATCAATTATAAGATTGTGCATTCAAATTCAAAGAAAGAACATATTATTAAATAAACGTTAACCGTGTGATAATTAATGATAAAATTTTAATGATACTGGGAGTTTAAATAAAAAAAAAAAAAAAAAACAACAGTTGCTCAAAATTCAATTCTTTTTGTTCTATATTATACTTAAAAACCATATTTATCAAATATATTTACCATCGTAAAATACGTTTTGCCAGTGACTTTGCTTATATAATCTCGTCCCTTGCAGGCGATCAAATAAGGGCAGTATTCGAACCATTTTGCGTGCTGTTCCCAAGGAACGTCTTCTGGTTTCCATTCCCTTAATCCTCCTCCGCAATAATAGCACAATGTTTGGTCTTCCGTTCCTGTATAATAAAAGCCAGCATTTGCTAGATCTTGTTTAGATTGATGTTTTGATTTAGGCCACGATTCAAATGTACGGACTCTAGATTCGTAGCTGGCAAATTGTGGATGTTTCGGTTTTGACGGTGTTCCGGAGAAATTATACAAATTTAAGATCACGTTGTCTTCGATTTCATCGTCCGGAGTGGAGAAAGGCACAAAACGATACGGTCCGCAAACGTCAACTTCTTTTGGCGAAGGAGTCGGAACAGTGCTTGGATCTACACCGATCGGAACGTTGCCGCACGGCACATTCTGGACAAATCTACATCTTCTCGACCAACGTTGGTGATCAATCATCGGGATGTCATTTGCTTCCCATTTACTTATTTCTACGTTACATTCGAAACATTTGACATTATCGTCTTTTCCTGTGTAGTAAAATCCAGCTGCCGCCAATTTTTCCGGCTTCATCCACGGACACGGCCAACCTTTGTTAAAGCTGTTTAATCGAGCAGATTCGAATCTGAAGTCATTGTTGTCAGGTTCGTCTCTTTCTTGTCCGAATAACGATGTTATTAGCGACTGCGATTTTTTTAAAAAATTATTCGGAGAAACGATAAACCGTTGAATAGTAGTCATTTTTGTGGCAGATTGCAAAATGTTTTCTTTTACTTTCGTGAATATTTCCTTAATCTATAAAGACAAAAAAACAAAACAAAAAAATATTACTTGATGTGTAAAAATCTGTTATAAAATAAATGGCTTATTAATTAACTTACTTTCTAATTTCTATAGAAGCATACGTTTTTTTTTTTCTATTTTCTTTATATCCTATTAGAGGATATAAAGAAAATAGAAATGGAGGTCCGATTCCGGAAAAAATGATGAATGGAATTCAACCTCGGAACCTCCATGTTCGTAGCCCCTGCACTCAAGAGCAGCGCGCCGATTGATCGGTTTCTTGATGAGATAATATCTATTATAGATAAAATAACTCGGAAATTTCATATTTAAATTTCGTTATTTTGAGTTTTCTTCAAAGGACGAATTTTTCTCAGTCAAATTGTCGACGATGGCAAACAAAATATTACGAAGAATTCCAAATTTTTAACAAATTTCGGTTCATATAGTTTCCAGGACGCTAATAGTCAACCAACCTCAGTGATATCAGTTTTTATTAAATTTTCGTTATACTAAATAATAATTAAATAATAACTTGTTTTATAGAATAATGAGAACATATATAAAAAAAAAAAAAAAATCAGAAAGAGGTTCAACTTCAAAGAAAATTAAAAATTAAAAATTGTTAACTGTTATTTTGTTGCAAAAGCGATTTTTGTTTTGTTTAAATTTTTTGATAAATACGTTAATTATTATAATTTGTATTTAATGTGTTGAGAAATAATTTAGTTTATTAAAATATGAAAAAAAAAGATAAATAATATTTTGTAATAAAACAACTATTTTTGACATTTTCTACCAACCCCAACCATAGGGCTAGTTGACTAACATGAAAGATGTTCGAAAAATATATTAAAATACCTCAGTTGTTGTAACATCAGATAGTCAAATATATGTCTTACAAGATATACTAATCATTATATAACATCTCGCTCATATAATTTATTAAAAATCAAATACTGAAAAATTAGCCTACCAGCCCCGGTCTCCTCTAACATGTCAGCCGCATTATTTTTATGTAAATTGCCCATTGGCGCCAGATTGAACTTTTGCTATTGATTTAAAATAATATGCGATGTAACAAGAAATTTTTGAAAGAAGGTTAGAAATTTTAATTTTATTGGGCACGCACCTGAAGAAACTACACTTCGGCGTCGGCATAATATTAGAACCACGTGCAGTATCTATTGATAGAAAAAAAAACGAAGATGAAGACCTTCCTCCTACTAGAGTAGCAAGATCTTTCTTCTTCTTTGCTTCTATGACGCACGCCCCTGCACGTGAGGAGCAAAAGCCAGTCTGAGAGATGGGTAGCAAGATCAAAGCAAAGAGCATCGAAAGCATCAAAGAGGCGGGGGCACGCACAAGCGAGGACCGCCGTCTGCGCACGTGACGTCACGCACCGTCACGCATACAGCGTGACGTCTCTGCTTGATCTTGCAACTCTGCCTCCTACCTATCAGTGTTGCTAGATGGGACGTTTTTTTTCGCACATGCGCGACGCATCTATCAATCTAATCTATCAATGATTTCAGCGGCAAATGCCAGGGGTATGGCCGATGCCTAAACAGTTCAGGGGCACGGGGCCATAAGTGCAAAGAAATGCCAGGGGTACATTTCAAAATCCTACCTTGGTTAACTAAAATGCTATTTCACGTGTACTACATAGTTTTCGGTTACCAAGGTAAGATTTTAGAACATTTGCTTAGAATGGCGTATGGACTAACTTGAGGCGGTCCTTTGAGCCATATATGCACCAAACCAAGATTTTAGAACGTACCCCAGTGGTGTATGCTGTGGGTGCGTTCAGACAACTCAACGGTTGAGAGATCATCACTTATGATAGGACTATTCTTCAAAATCTGCTGCGGTTCCAAAAGTATGATCCAATCAGAAGTNATTATCTCTCAACCGTTGTGCAACTGTTGAGTTGTCTGAACGCACCCATTATCTCTCAACCGTTGTGCAACTGTTGAGTTGTCTGAACGCACCCTGTAAGTTCCACGCGCACGTGCCAAAAAAGCGTTCCATCCAGGCCCTGTTCGGTTATTATTGGGTGCGTTCAGACAACTCAACGGTTGAGAGATCATCACTTATGATAGGACTATTCTTCAAAATCTGCTGCGGTTCCAAAAGTATGATCCAATCAGAAGTAATTATCTCTCAAACGTTGTGCAACTGTTGAGTTGTCTGAACGCACCCATTCTGGCGGTACTGAAAAATCTATAGTATATGTGACGTAAGTCTATAGATTTTTAGTACCGCCAGTAAAAAACGAACGCAGCCCTAGCAACACTGCCTGCTACGCTGTCCAGCAGGTGGTGCCCTCTATACAAGGATGGACGCAGAAAGAAGACTGAGAGTGGCCATTCTATTATTAGTTTCTTACGACGCTGGTTTTAGCGCCAAATCCACAAAAGTGGATCTCAAAGGCCGTTCTACATCAAACGCAAGTCTCGCCGGTCTCGCGGAACCGATCAGTCACGTAAGTCTCGATTAGCTGACTTGACTCTGCGATTGTTCAATGAAACCGTCGTAAAAAAAAACTACAATAGAATGGTCGTTCTCAGATTTCTCTTTGCTCTAACCAAAAAAATCTTTCAGGTCCCGCACACGGTAGAACGTTAGATCGTCTTTTCATGTCGATGTTGATGCCCATTCTTAGCGTTAAGTAAAATCTGCTTGCTTGATTTATGTAAATAAAATGCAAGTGAAGCGATCAATCGCAGTTGTAATTGCTGTCTCGGTTTTGAAGTGACTCAGAGCCTCCGCACAAACTTTTTTGTAAACGCGTTAAGACATTCTACATTAAGCGAAAAATGCAATCGCAAGTGGCAGGTCTCTCGTGGAATTGATCGATCACGTTGATTGATCAGCCACATTGGTTTGATCAATGCGATTAGTCAATTCCGTTCGAGACCCAACTTGGGTTTGCGTCTTGCGCTTGTAGAACAGGCTTTACGTTACGTTAAATACCGGTCGTAAGCTTAGATTCTTGTAAACTTGAAATTTTATTCAACGCACAAACAAAATTAAATTTAATGTAGCATAAACGTGACATGTTAAATTTTGTTTGCGCATTGTGAATAAAGTTTGAAGTTACGTGCAAATCTACGCGATTATGGCCAATACTTAACGTAACGTAAACGCGTTAAGAAAGAGTTTATACGGCGGTCCTAAACCAGATTCTTTCCAGAAATTCTTGCCTGTGTCAATTCTACCTTACTTTCTACAACGCATGCGCTGCTGTTGAAGTTGAAGAACCTAACCGAATTTTTTTGATTTGATCATCAGTAAGATGCCGTTTTTCATGAGATGAAGTCACATGCAAAAAGTGATTGTCTGCTAGAATTAGAGGTAACATAAAACTGCTAATTAAAATAAATAATAAGTAAAATTTCATTACCTACATTAACTATAAAATCGAAAATATGAGTAAAAATAGCGATAAAAAAGAAGAAAGAATGAGGAAATTTCAAGAAAAGCATAAAGGTAAAACGAGGTTATATCTCGAACGTTCATTGTAACTGAGTACTAACAGCCAATTTTTTCACTTCTAGATAAGTTTTTCGATAACTTTATCTAGAAGATATCTCCCCAAAATTGGTTCTCCTTATTGGTTCTCAAATGAATTTATCCAGAGGATAGCTATCGAGAGGTATGAAGAAATCGGCCGTAAAACAATCTATGAACCACAACTTGGTACACATGTAACGTATAATATAAATTTCTAATACCGGCTTCTAATATGCGCTCCTCACTCGATGCGCAGTCTACACATCGAAGTTTTATTTTAAACAACAATAGCTCTCTTTTAACATATATATTCTTGAGAGAAAGAGAGAGAAAAACAAAAATAATATATTAATAATATATATAATAATATATTAATGAAACAATTTTACGCAGCGATCTAGTTGAAGCGTACCCATAATGTTTTTTTTTTTTTCACCCGGATATGTTAATAATTTAAATCAGGAAGGTCGTTTCGCTTGGTGACGCCATTTTAGAAGCCATGCGATCGTGAGTTGTAAAAAAGAATTATGTCATTTCTTTCAGTTGAAATAGCCAAATTCGCGGAACACAGTATCTACTTCTGCAATAAACGAATTCGAACAGGCTATCTCGCAGGGCTTTCATCCATTTCAAAACTCAACGAAAAAGATAATAATTTTTAAAACACATGCATACACTAAATCGTTCCCCCATCATCCCGACGAAGTCTGTTCCTCGTACGGCTTTACCAACGCGACGGAAGGTTACGTTTTCAACACCGTGTATGTGAAACGCAACGTTGCCGCTTTACCACGCGGCTTTTATTTCCATTCCTCTTATTTTACAATGCGCGGAATGCATTCCACAGAGTGAATTGTAACGGGTTTGAAGCGCGACCGAGCGTCCTCACGTTTTCTATCCCACGGCCCACTAAAAGCAATAAACTATATTCTTTCACCAAGGGAAAGAAGCGAATCTTTGAATTTTACAAGATTTTGCAAAAGTCACGCAGCTTCGCACACAATTCAGAAGACAAAAATATTCAGCGGAAATAATATTTTTAAAAATTCGAATTTATTTTTCTGACAAGAAAAAGAAAATACGAAGTTAATAACATCTTTCGATCTGCTTCATCTATCTGCTTTAAAAAATGTGCGACAAGAGAAAGAAGTAGCATTGACATAAAAAATAAAAGAACGTTTTATGTTTTTGTTTGAAACTGAACGCGTGCTAAATTGTCTGTCAGTTTTTTTTTTCTTTTTTTTAACAAAAAATGTGTCCAGAAAAGAAACGCCTTAATTGTGTGGCGATAAGAAACACTTATCGGTTAAACGAGTCGAATTATCTATTGAAGGCTAGCCGTAGAATTTTATCGGCCACATGGGTGTTTCCGTTCATGATATTATAGATGAGGGAAAAGATTCCTTACTTATAATACGGACGAGGCGCTTACGTGTAGTGTGTGTGTGTGTGAACACGACGGGTGTTCGCGTCGAAAGATAAAACCGTGAAAAGCTATATATAGGATGTCGTTAAAACACTCGGAACATACTTCGTCGCGAGACGTCGTGTTTGGCCTTCGGGTTCACTTTGCGCGAAAAGTCGCGATTACTCGTTTCTTTGTAAAAGAGATGACTCTCTGATCAGTATCTCCCCCTTCCTCCCGTCATTTCCGCTAATTGAGATCGACGTAATTGAATCAATTGAAGATTAAAATTCATTTACAAAAAGCTCGCGCGTTGTAACAACGTGTTTTGCAACTTAGTATCCTGATACGTCGCCAAAAAAAAAAGGTGCGTTAAAAAATACAATCCGAAGTGCACGTTTGCGTCACATGCTACAAAAGAGAGATATAATTTATCGTCAGGCGAAACTGCAAAATGACATCAGCGTGTGAAACTTCCTTTGAACTCTCACGTCTGTTTCTCATATGATATACAATCGCAAAAGAGCTGGCAACAAGGCACGAACGAAGGCATGTACGCGATCGAAAGACTTAGCGTCATTCTCTCTCTATCAACGTCGATTAAAACTCTTCCAACGTATATGCACAAAATTGTAATAAATTCTGTATTCGTTTTTGAACATCAAATTGTATATATATATATATTGTATATATATTGTATATATATCCTATATATATTATATGATTGTATGCATATGTATACATATTGTGTACATACGATAAACACATTCAGAGCACAAATTTAAAAATAAGTTGTAACTTGTACTTTACACGTACCTGTTTTTTTTCAAACCGACCACAAAAGTAGAACGATCTCAATACACTGAGTTGTTTACTTACAGATACCGCTAATCGACATTGATTGAGAAAGAACTTGTTTGTCATTAATACAGAGAAATTAATGACTCCGTTATCTGTGATTTTTCAAGGAATCTTCTATTTCGATCATTAAGAGACTTGTCGAGAGATAATAAAAAAAAAAACTAATCTTATCGAACAATTTTAATGCTTTAATTCAGAAATTCGTCGAACATGTTTCACAAAAAGTAAATGCAAAGTAAAAAGTCACACTCATTCATTTATACATGACACATTGATGGTTTCCATCCATTGCCCAGAGAAAAAATGGCACTATATAACACGTCACGCATACATATCAATAAATTAATATTTAAGACCAATTATAAATAATAAGTTTATAATACAAAAAGTATCAGCTTCTTCGATGAGAAATATCATGTGTTCGAATAAACACTCTGATTTGTTAGAAAATTCAAAACGCTTCTGCAGTTTTTTAATATTGTACACAAAATTGCGTTTTGTTATAAAAACTAAAAATAAAATATAAACAAAAATACATATTCTAATCAAAATTTAATTAGTTATTTTCTATTAGACTTTGTGAAGTTAAGCAGTTGCGCGCTGTGTATTAGACAGCAATTATTTTTGTTTAGTTTCCTCTGCTCACGTTACTCATTTAATTTTACATAAATAAAATCTTACATTACATAAATAAATTGTCTTAAAAAATAATTGTTTTTTTACAGGACAGACTTTGTAACCGTCCGACATTTTAAGACCCGACGCTGAACACACATATGTCAAAAGGACACCGCCGCGGACGGTAAACAAACGACTGATCATCAACATCAAACTTCTGGCTGATACTTTATCTGTATAATAAATAAACGCTCTTATTTACGCTTATGTCAATTTTTACGGATCTCAGCAATGGGCGTGTCGCGGGTTGTGAAACGCGCAAGCAAATGTGAGTAGAAAAAAATATACAGAAAAAAAATTCATACCGCGCATATGGAAATCGATACAAGGAAATATAACGAGGACAAATTATTCTCCGTTTATATTCTTAACAGATAAAATGCGTTGCGAGAAATTAATGAAACAAACGTACCCAAGTCGACGCCGCTGAACAGCTGCAAACTGCTAAACAGCTTTGTCTCTTCTCGGATCGATTGTTCTTTTGTGTATATCTCCCTTTCACTTCTGTCTCACGGAACAATCGGTACTGACGTACCGATGTTATTAACTTGCGACGTGTTGGAATTGTTGTGTCAAACGAAAATTCCGGAAAAAAACGCGCGACGAGTCGGTACCGATTTTCTTGCAAATATCACGAGCAATTAGATTAATAATACAACAAGACTGCCAAATTTTACCGGACACAAACGTAAACCTCGTCGTTACGTGTTCACAAGTAAATTGTGAATATACGCGAGCTATACGAGCAAGCTTAAGAGTGAGTCGCACGCACTCTGGGGCGTTAGTAGCTTACTACCAGCGCGGTCGATACTACGAACTGACGTTGAAAACCGCGAGTAAGTTCCATTCTCGCCACACCACTCTTCAATAACGAATCATCTGTTCTTACACTGCTAGTGACTAACACACGGAGCCACATCTGTATCAACTAGTATTAGTAGGAAATCTAGCAGCACATGTGATGCGAAGTAGACTTTTAGTTTTACCGGCACCCTTACGAAAAAGAACTACTGGCAATAATATATTGCGGCAGTGGTACGAAAAAATGACTGGCATTCTGTGTAATTGCCAGTAATATTCTCAGTGATTCCTGTAATACCGAATAATATTCTTATGTAATTGTCAGTAATATTTATATTACTGACTTTATTTATATGTAATCGGCAGTAGTTCTTTTTCGTAAGGGCAATATCGCAGTTTTTGAATTCTGTGAGTTGATTGTGCATCTGTGCAATCACATGAGCATCCGCAGGAGAAGGGCAAACCGGGCATTTGCCTCCCCCTCCTGGAGAGGCAAGTTTTTTTTCACAAATTGTTTTTTTTGGGGGGGTTTGCGGTCAAAGTCTCACTGCAAATGTTTCGAAGCATTCGTTCGATCTTTATTCTTCGTTAAATGTAGAATAAAGATAGACAGATGCTTTGAAACAAGTGCGGTGAGACTTTGACCGCACTTCCTTTATCTTGAAACAAGTTTGAAATTCCTGGTTAACACATTAAATCGTACATCTATTCGTGAAAACTCTCTGTACGGTGAAACACCTTTCTGTAAAATTCATAAAATTTTTGGAACGGAAAAATTGCTCCACCTTCCCCTGAAAAAAAATCCTGCGGACGGCCATGTAGTGCAATGTAGTGAAAATGACAAAAGCGAGCAAATTTACTAGTTGTTGAACCAATAAGATCAAAGATATTTTAATAAATTTGCTCACTTTTGTAATCTTCACTACATTGCATGATACACAATCGATTTCCTGATAGAGATGAGAGATGAGACACGGCGTGAGAGAACTCACATATCTACTGAATCAACATGATCAGTTATGATGCATAAGCAGAAGAGATAGACATAGAATGGCGTATGGACTAACTTAACTTAGGTTCACTGAGTCATAAGGGCACCAAATCAAACCATGAGTAAAAGATGAAGTCTAGAATTCGATTAGGCGACTTTGAATCGAAGATAAGAGATACGTAGTTGCCATCCAAGTTCAAAGGTTTAAAACTCTATTGATTGAAGCTCCTATACAGCCAGCGTCATAAATGCTTCAAGTCAATTTTACGTGTGCATAGTTTGGCTTTGTTCGGTTATTATTGGCAGTACTGAAAATATATTTCACGTTACGTATCTTATAGATTCTTCAGCACTGCCAGTGTAATAATCCAACAGGATCTTTGCTATGTAAAGCCTCTTGCACAATGCGAGGGAACAGCGATAGCGATAAAGCCCCTTGCACAGTGGAAGGAATAGCGATAGCGATAGAAATAACACAGTTTTTAACACAGAATTCCAACTCGTCGGAAATTTTATCGCTATTGCTTATTTCGATTTTCTGATCTGCATTGATACATGTGTGTAGTTTTGTATGTTAGATTCCGCTGTTCCTACCTTTATTTTTAAATATAAACTCTTTAAAACTTTTGTTATTTCTATCGCTATCGCTATTCCGTCCATTGTCATAAAATTATTACACGTGAAAAAATTTTAGTTGTAATCGTTAAAATCGCAAATAAATCAGTTGATCACAAGCCACCCTTACGAAAAAGAACTACTGCCGATTACATATAAATAAAGTCAATAATATAAATATTACTGACAATCACATAAGAATATTATTAGGGATTACAGGGATCACTGAGAATATTACTGGCAATTACACAGAATGCCAGTAATTTTTTCGTACCACTGCCGCAATATATTACTGCCAGTAGTTCTTTTTCGTAAGGGTAGTGCTAAATTTTATTTTAGACTAGCAAAAAGCCGACTTCATTCAAACCTACAGACATGTTTTTCTTAATAGGTCAGACTGGCGCCATTCTCGTCGTGGTAGGTACATTTTCGTTCTCGTGTTTAACAGGAAGGGATCCATTGAGATGACATTACCCAAAGGGCGTAATATTCTAAGAAGAAACAGGAAACGATTATAATATCGTTTTACAACTTACGTCAGCATCCTGTCCTGAAACTTTTTTTCGAGAAATTACGATGAAAAATTTGCTAGACCGGTTTTGTGCTAAGATCACGATCCCCTTGATTGCTCATAGACAAGTAATTTTGCGCTATCTCTCTATGTGCGATGGATGACTATTATTCGCGAAAGTAATGATACCACATGTGAAACGATTGTCTATCTTATCGTATATGTGTGCGTATTGTTTTAATTGAATCATGTGTGGCTTTCCCCGAAATTTACCCTGCCGTTCTGAAGTATCCGCACGATTGCGTTTGTGCGCAATTGCGAGAGACGCACAATAAATTGTTTGAAAAATTTGTAGAAGAAAAATTTTTATTGTCACGCGTAAATTCTATTTCCGAAAGACATAATTCAGTTGATCATTTATGTGCTAAAATTATAAAATAAAGCACATAAATTAAAAAAAAAATACTAAAAAATTCTAAAAAAAAACTAATGTGAACTAATAAATTATTTAGTTCTTTGTTATTATGTGTACATACTGTGAGAAACGAGAAAAGATCAAAACTAGCCGATTTCTATAAGAATAGAAAAGCAAGGAGGAGGTCTATTACTAGCGGCAAGAATCAACATTAAAACCCATGTTTTGCATTGGTTAATCAGTAAGTAGCTTACGTAGAATTTGTTTGAATGCCCGATCTTCTTTTAATCGATGTCACGCAGAGACTTCTCACACGTGATGTTTAACGCGTTCTAACGCTTCTTTTGTAATTTTATGCTTTTTATGTCTAAAAAGAATGTTTAAATAAATTGAGTAAAAATATACAGCTTGCTTATCATACTATTTGTTTATATTCTATTTTTGTTCCAAATTTAGTGTAAAGAAACGAAATAAATATATATGCATATTGTCTTAATAAATTGTCGGTTGTAGTTAGGCAAGTATGAACCTTTTGCAGGGTGTTATGCGAAAAAATGAGTCTGTAGTATTTTGTTTTTCAACCGAAAATTTGAAATACCGTTAAAAACTCATTCAAACAACATTATTAAATTGCGTTGCTAACAATTCTCTTTTTAGTAATACAAAAAAGTGTCAGGTTCAACAACTTAAGAACTCGAGAGAGTTTGGTTCTTGTGTGAGAAAGTTTTCATAGAGGTCAATGTCCTGATAACAAAACCTTTGGAACCTAAAACTGAATGACAATTTCTTTAGTCACTCAGAAAAAAAAACAGATAATGTAGAAAAGTATGTGTGTGTGTAGTAAAGTATGCGAACAAAGTCACTACGGGAAAATTAAAGGCAGAAAAAGTTTTTATGTCTCACTTTTACATTATAAAATTATTATCAAACTGTTTATTTTGTTTTTATATATGTATATATAAATAAAATTATTTTGTTTATATACATGTATCACACTGCAATGTTTTCTGCATCTTCTTAATTATTTTCAATATTTTTTATACTGTGAAACAGAGTCAAGAAATATTATATGTTAAAAAAATATTTATATATTAATAAAATGTAAATAAATTTATAAAAAATGTCAATATGTCGAATTATTTGTTCAATTTTTGTATATATTCCTTCATCTATTGTATTTCTTCATCTATTACACCTTTTTACCTGCATCGGAGATGATGACTTTAATTCGTTTAAATAGCATTTTAAATGTCTTACACGATCGTCTATAGAATTATCTTGTTTTCGAATTGATTGCGAAAGTATTACTCCGTCCAGTCATAGATGTCAAAAAAAAAGAAAGTGAGAAACTGCTAAACTCTTTTTTGACAATAATCCCAAATCGGCCAAAGGTCTGTAATCTCTCTTAGATCAACAAAATTAAAATGTTTCAGAAGTGCAAAGAAAGAAGACAAATTTATTCCTTTGAGATTGTCAACAATAGTTTTGCCAGAGATATTGCGGATGTTACGATAAAAAATCCTACTTTCTGAATTGTCTAATAAGATATTCGTTTATTCGCGTAGTTCGCAAGAATAACAATAAAACTTTATTCACCGCGTTCATATATATTATCTTCGACAAATCTGCGTTCGCTTGTCATCTTTGCGAGAAATATTTACAAGAAAAATACAATTTGTAACGCTTTTAAATAAAAAAAAAAAACGAAAAATAAAACGTGTTTTGTTAAACCGTAAAACTGTCCGTAATTTTAAACATTTGTATTTAAAATAAACTGCTATTAATATATATTTAATATATATTTAATATATATTTAATATATATTTAATATATATTTAATATATATTTAATATATATTTAATATATATTCAAAAAAATAAACTGCTATTAATGTATATTTAATATATATTTAATATATATTCAAAAAAATAAACTGCTATTAATATATATTTAATATATATTTAATATATATTTAATATATATTTAATATATATTCAAAATATTCAAATTATAGAGCATAAGAGATGACCTAATTAAATAAAAAAGAATAACGACGTGCTCGCGCGCGCGTGTGTGTGGAAAAAAAAAAGTTTCGGTTTTTTGTGCACTTTGAGATCTAAACCAATTGGAATTTTCCTTATTACGTCAGTTGGGTCTAAAAGTTATCTCACACTAAATGACATAGCCTGCATAACAAAGTTATCTTAATTAACAAGCTAAGCGTGCATATTTTTATATTATGCTCTGTAACGGCAACGTTATGCTAAACGCTCAAATGGTTTGTTCAAATGGTTATCTAACATTTTTCCCATATTTATCTCAATATATATAGTGCAAGATCGGACATCAAAATTCTTGGAATGCGACGCCCTCGACCTACGTCTAAGTAAAAAAAAAAAAAAAAGGTCTCAAAGTGATTCTTAATCGTGCATATACCTAACAAACGCGTAACCGGAGAAGCGATTTTCCTTGAAATTTTACAGACGACTTCCTGTCGCAGTCGTGAATCACGCGCGTACGTGAGATATATCGAGAATCCAATTTTTTTTTTTTTTTTTCTTTAGAGATTCTCAGTCTACGAAAGTGATGATTCTATCACTCTTTAAATTGCAACATTTTCTCGTAAATTGCGAAAACGGTATTATCGCCGATACGTTGTGGTATCGTCAAGTCTCGGAAAACGTGATAAAAAGAGTATTTAGAAGCAAGTATAAACATTATCAGGAACTTCAGTTGTAAGTAATACATGTACATAAGTGCTCGCTTTCGCGCTGAAAGCGTTTCTCTAGCTTTATTTTAACGAGCGATAAATAAAATTACCGAGACATTCTATTAATAAACGGTGCTCTGTTATCATTTTTTTTCCTCGTCAGAAGTTTACGTCAGATTGTGTAAATTCCCGTGAAGCATATTTCCGGCCAAGAGCGGAAATGTCGCTCGATTATCGTTTTTTTTTTTTTTTTTTTTTTTAACGGAGTACAGAATCAAACCTAAAAACGAGAACATTCCGCAGATCAACGTCGTCGCGTTTGAGTGCTTTAAATTTAGATTAAAAAAAAAAAAAACAACGCACGATGTTTAATCACGTTACGTAACGTGTGTTCACGTGCGCGGCTGCTATCGCGAAACAAACCGGCGAGTTCCAATAATTTATCTGAGAAACTGTAAAAAAACGCAAAATGCGTGCGGATCTGGTTCTCAAGAATATCTTCTAATCGCGAGTACGTACGAAAGCTTCGGTTATCTTGAGTCAATTACAAAATATCAATAAGTATGTCGATAAGATACGATATTATTGACCATTTGTATTTGTCAACTCAAGTGATAATACATATATCGCAATAAATATATATATATATATATATCTCGTTTTTATACGTTTGTTGATATTACTTCGTACTGAATAAAAGTAACGGAAGTTCTCTCGGAAAGTCAAGCACACACGGGAGTTTCTTTGTGCTTCTGCTTGGATCGATCGCAAAGGTATCAGCTGCCCGTCTCGGAGAAAATTACAAATGTGTATCCACCTACCAGCTGGATACATTATTCGAAAAGCATCTGTTTCCTTTCTGTGAAAGCGGCGCTAAACGCGCTTCATCTAATAATAATCATAATAATCTAAAAATCTCGCGACAACCGGTTATTTCTGCAGAATATCTTCTTCTGCGATCTATAAAGATATGCTTAATAGTAAAACGCAGGTGGAAATGATAAAAATAAAACGCGCAAACGAGATATAAGAGAACAAAGAAACATATTTAAGGGAAACAGAGAGAGAGAGAAAGAGGTACACCGAAAAAAAATTATATTCTTGTAAGTAGAAGATTTTATACTTAAAAAAATCTTCTTAAAGATCTTAGATGATATTCTTCTGAAATTAAGAATATATTCTTTATTTAAGAATATAGTCTTTTTCGATAGTGAGATATATATGTTTTTCTACAGAGGCTTTTTATATTCTAATCAGTATATATTCTTATCAATATTACTATTTAGAGGATTTTCCTCTTAAAATAAGAAACTCGTCTTGGCGCCTATTTTAGTATAAAATATACTTAAAGTAAGTGGGATATCTTCAAAACAAGAATACAATTTTTTCGGTGTGGAAAAAAGTCCTATAGCAAAGAGAGGACAGAAGGTCTTTGCGTGTGTCAAAAATTTTAAATCTCGTAACGTTATTTCTTATTAAAATTAGACAAAGATAAAAAAATGATGCTTCGCGCGACTTGGACCCGGGATCACTCCCAATATCTCCATGGTGTTTCGCACAAACGCTCCGCGTGCGTGATCGCGAAATATTTACAGGTTCTTTTACGCGAACAAGTTCTCCGAGCAAAAACAAGAAAAAAAAAAAGAAAACAGTGTTGGTCATGCTCTCGGAACAAAGAGATATGCGTGTATAAAGAGAGTGACAGATATATGTCGCGAATTGTCGCGAAAAAAAAATATATATCGCAATGTGTGTTGATTTGATAAAAAAAAAAAAAAAACTCGAGAACAGGGAGAGAAAGGGCGGCGATCGGCAATCTTATCGGCACGCTTATCGTATACACAGTATGTATACGCTTTTTCACAATTTTTGTCGATATGTACACACAACTCACCTCAGATAATCGCGCTACTCTTGTGATTTCTTCGTCTACGTGTACGTCTTCCAAAACACTCTACAATTAATGATTGACAATCTTTTATATAATATCAAAATGTCGAATTTGCGCGCGATTTTTACTTTTATATATGTCAAAAAGTATCTTGCCGTCTTCAACCAGCTTTGACATACAGTGCGGTCTGACTATGAACGACGACTGCGACGATTGACTGACTCGCCCTCGTGAAGAAAACGAGAAGAGGGTTTCCGAAGACCTAAACTGTGTGTCTCGAAACACATAAGCGGTTTCGCTATAGGCTACAAGGGAAATGCCTCTATCCCTTCTATGAATTGCCCTTACCACTGCAAGAATGCACATACCAGCACGTACTATCTCACATAAATCAACCTACGTTATCCGCCAAGATAGCGGAAACTGAAAAGAATATTGTGGGAAACTACATGATTTGGCTTTTTTAAGATAAAAAATACAAGAATGTTATTTCGTAATGTCCAGAGAACGCAGCTCAAATTACTTTTCTCGATAGTGACGATATACTTAAATAATAAAAAAAAGACGATATTAACAAACAAGTTCTTTTGTTCATTTTTTCATTTATACAAAATGAACATTTTACAAAAGAAAGATTAAATACGCTTTTGTCTACTTTATCGTTTATTTGTACTCACGCGTGAGTAAATCACACAAGAACACAGATTTTTACTGTACATTATCACATTTTAAAAAAATATGTATCTATAGACGGATTGGATTTTAAACACGCGCATAGGCCTAGTTTACATCGTACATCTTTTTGATACGCGAATCAAATAAAATTTGCTTTTCAATGTATAAATGTATTTGGTGTTTACATTGTTACAAATGCGCTTGATACGCATATATCATTTTGATACAATACGCGTGAAGAAAGCGTATCGTATCAGATTGATGTAACATCGTTTACATTATTGAGACTAGTTTAATACAAATATAATACTTAATACGCGTATTAAGCGATCGGTATAAACTAGGCCATATATACAAACTGCGTTATTTGCCTCAAATCTATAGTTCACGTCACGTGTAAGATAGATTTTTGGTAACAGTCAGTAAATATCGGTGTTTCTAGTCTAAAGAACGCAGAGATAAATATACAACGCAGCGAATCAACTTTAAACGATATTGTCTCTCTTTTGTATGTGTTAGAGTTTTTACTCTAACACATACAAAATCGATTAATCACTTGCGTTATACGGAAATGCGGCTTTATTACGAAACAAAACAAGTTGCGTACGATGCGCGATTATTCTACTAAATATTATATTTTGCAATGTGAACAACAATGTTTATCTGTAAAAATTATCTTCGAAAATCAAAACATGTTGTATTATATGTATCGTTACACGTGTAGATGCAAAAAGATAAATTTTAATTGTAAACTACACTTTTTTAAACAGTTTATGAATAAAATAAACATATTTTTTTTTAACTTTGGTATAGATCTACTTCGGCGTACGTCTTATACATATATGTTCGTTAATATCAGGTATTCTTATATCACAGATAATATATATATATATAAATGTATATATATATATATGTATAATCTGCTCTTAATAGTTTATATATGGCCTTAGAAAATAAGATTGTTACAAAACATTAAGTTTCCATCGAACACGTACTTTTATGTATTTCAATAACTTTATATTTTGCATTATAAAGACAATATGTGTTTTTTATACATAAACATTCTTTAAAAAACCTAATTAAACTCCTTGTACAATTGTAAAATAAAATAATATAAGCAGAATAAACGAAAAACAATTTTTACTGTTTTAAATTATTCAATTGTTTTTTTTTTTGAGGGGGGAGGGTCAGAATACAAAGACCCAAATACGCGGTTGCATCGTCATAAAATTAAAAAATTCATCCTAAAAGTAAAACATTGTTAAATTAAAAAGTTACTTGTCTGGAATCTTTGACAGAGAATAATAACGTAAATTACAAAAAACTGCAAAAACTTAAATACAACGTTGCGTCATTACAACGTTAAAATAGTGTTAAGTTTTATATGTTAAAGTTTTCACTCTTCGTTTCAAGCTATAGCAAGCGTATTTCTTGAAGATCAGCAGAAAACATAAGCAATTTATTTTGCTTATGTTTTCCATTCAAGTGATTTGCTATTTGGTGAACATCGTGTTAAATTGTTTTACTTCAGGAAAATCATATCAGAGTTAACACATCAAATCGCACGTGTCTTGATACGTAATAATCATTTGTTATCCGTTACTGTCAATGTCAAAATTAGATTGATCTAACCATATGTGCAAAATACATGATAACGTATATTTAGATAAGACAGCGTTATACGTGAAACTGCGATAAGTACGAGATCAAAATCAAAATTTTTTTTTATGTATTTCCTTCTGACAGATCTCTTTCTCTATACTTATATTTTCATAAGTGTATCCGCCGTAATTTTTACAAATCAATTTATTATAGATAGTAACGGACGTAAGCAGTAATGTTGTTTCTACATAGCGGACAAGTTGTGATATCCGGTCCGCAATATTCGCACGTTAGTATATGTTGGCAGGGATAAAATGCCACAGTTAATTTGTGTTCGAAGCAAACTTTGCACAAATTATTTACTGACATTCTGTTCTTTTCCCATGAAGACACTGTAAGAAAACAAAGCGAATTTATTGCAAGATCTACTGACGTGTGCACCACGTCGTTTTCTGAGAAATCAGATTACGCGCGTGCATATATTGAACATATGACGTAGCATATTGGACACAAGAGATAGAGTTGCTTGCATATCATTTACACAAAAGATTATTGCAACGAGAAATGCTAAATTAAACTTGGTAATGAGGTTGCGACAAAAATTAATTAAATTACATTTTAATATTTATCAATGATATATCAATATATATATATATCAATGATATATATCAACGATATATATCAACGATATATATCAATGATATATATCAATGATATATAAATATAAAGTAAAAAATAAAATAAAATAAAATAAGTACTAATTTTATTATAAAGGTCCTTTTCTGTAAAAAGAGATGCGATTATACCGAATATCAAATATAATACTAATATATTACTAATATCATCGATAATATATTACTTACTATCATCTGATTTATTATCTTTCTTCTCCTTAAGTTTATCTTCGACTGCGTTCGATGATTTTTGCATATTTATCTCATTTGCATTTTTATCTTTATTAACTATGTCACTACCTTCTACTGTGTCTATGGTACATGGTTGTTTCAATAAGCCAAGGTATTTCGAAGCTAATAAATTAGGTCCTTCATTTTTAATTCTACAGAAAGAAGACCGCAATACAATCATGATAATTCACGGATGTAAACTCAAATTATATACTCAATATGTGTACATGTTATGTTCGACATACTTAGCATCTACAACACGACATACAGCATCTTCTATTAATTGGTCAATAAATACATTTGTTTCGCCACTTAGTATCAGTAGTTTCTTTAAAGCTGTCTTTACTTTTGTAAAAAGTGCCATATATAGTCGAATTTCCGTTTCTGCCTATATTTACATACAAGAGAAAACATACGTTAATTATACTTATGAAACATGTAACGTATTTACAAGCAACCTTCTAAGTAAGCTATATAAAACAGTACAGCCTAAAATATCGCCATGTTTTTGATGTTTTTGATTACATGTCCAAAACTACATGTAATAATGGAATAAAAAAAAATAATAGTCATTATATATATAGAAATACTAGTCCTTTTATATAGAACACTTATTGTAATTTATTTCACTTACCATACTTGAGATCAGATCTATGTTCTTTAATAGCATCTCAAATATTACATTTAGTGTCGATTTGCTAAATTTTTCGGATGCTAAAGTTGTAAGAGATACAACTCGATTACTTGTGACATTTTTCGCATATGTTTTATCAGTCACCGGATTTCTATCTTGTACCGCTGTCGAAGAAGATGAAATCGACATTTCTGCATTCTGTTCAAAGTTTGCTGTTTCTTTTACCACAGGACTGGTAACTCGCGAAGTTGTAGGAGACTCAATATAAATTCCAGTTTCATCTACTGATAATTCAATCGAACTCTACGTAAAATATAAAACAAATTAAAAGTGTAAATCCGACATATTCTGCATTAAAAGAAAGAAAAACATAACGTGATTAGTACCGTGCGGTTCGAATTTGGTTTTCTTTTATCCGCACAAGATTTAACAAAATCTGATCCACGCATAAGATGTACAAATCCACAATCTGGAAACCATAGTGCGTGTTCCTCCCACACATCATCTGTTGAGTTCCACAATTGTATGCCTCCGTCACAATGGAAACATCTGACTTGGTCTTTGTACCCTGTAGCCAAAAATGTAGAGGTTTAAATATTAAGATAAATACTTCATTAATATCTAAAAAACAAATATAATTTATATTAACCAGTATAAAAGAATCCAGCGGTAGCTAACATTTCCGGAGTTTGATTGAGATGTTTTGGCCAGTGCCGAAACGTTTGTAACCGTTTTTGATACGCGGCATATTTTGGATAAACAGGTGTCATGTGTTTTTCCATATTTATGATACTCTCTGTAGTGCCAGACAAAAATGTGATAAATACTTAGATTTATTTCGAAGTATAAAAGTATAATCGAATAATTATTTTACATTCATAAGTCGAATAAAAAAAAAAAAAAAAAATAACAATAAAAATAGATACATAGAAATCATATTAACATGTGATCTGTATAAGAATTATTAAAATAATATACCATTTTGTTCTTCATTCTTGTAAAAATCACAATTTGGAAAACATGATCTATGTGACATATTTGGATCTTGATTTGGTTTCCAATTCATTAATACACCTCCACAGAATGCGCATTCCACCTATAATTTGTGCAAAATAATTTTGATGTTCCTTTATAACAATTAATTGTTGCTTATCATTCATCAAATTGAAGTATTAGTTAAACGCAACAATACTTTTTTAAAAATATTTTATTCTCGAATCGATTAATAAGGGTAAAATAAAATTTATCGGTTTAGTCGTTGATGAATATTGCCCTGTGAAGTGTCTTCCCACTCTCAAAATACCTGAATTTCGCGCATAAGATGCACGGCGCGCCACTTCGTTGCGCGCAAAATTGGCGCGAGGCACTAAAAAAAATTGTTTACCATATCTTTGTATTGAAGATAGTAAAATCCTGCTAAAGCAAGGTGTTCTGGACGTATGATAGAAGGTACTGGCCAATTTTCAAAAGATTCCAGTCTCTGCTGAAATGTTCTATATTCTTTGTGAGGATTAAGCGGTCTTTGTAAGATCTCTGTATTGTTTGTAGATGCATCGGATGGTTGTGAACTCGGCGATGTCGATTTTAGAACACTCTTATTTGCAGTTTGTGCCAATGAACCATTATTCTTCCTAGTTGGATCGGCGGCGGGAAGACAGCTCAACTGATGACAAACGGGAAGTTTGTCACCGCTGGTCGCGTCAGATATTTTCGCGCCACAAAAGAAACATTGTATCTCCCAATCATTTCCCGTATGATAAAATCCTACTTTTGCAAAACGTGCCGCATCATCCGTTGGCCAGTTACCAAGTGTCTTGAATCTATTCTCTTCGACATTCATCTTCGAGAAATACGTATTATCGTATTATTATCAGTTACAAAAATGTCCAATACTTTGATGATAAATACAAATTTATAAATCTTTATAAAACAGAGTACCGTGTAAGACTAACCTTGCTAGAGTATGTATAATCACGAGGTTTATCTCAAGCAAGAAGCACGTTGCAACTGATCGAATATCAAATCCAACGTTATTCAGAGTTCCAATTTTCACATAAACGTGTAAATTCTCCGAGACCTTGAAACGTTCAAAACCAAGTTTGTATATAATGGAACACTGTATCAGCTCTATGAAAACTAAATCATACATAAAATGTATATATTATTTTACATAAAATAACAATTGAATCTTTTTTCTACGCAATTATGTAATAAAACTAATGACAATAATTACCAAAAGTTCGGCGACAACTTCAAATTAAGCGATTGATTCGACAGCTTTTTCTCAGGTGTATCGGACCCAAATCAATAATTACCAAAAGCTAACGTTTCCTCTGTTTGATTACAAACGTAAACACATTGTGTTTATGTTTGAACATTCAATACCGGCAATATTTAAGTACTGTTGTCAGTTTAGAGGATAGTGGGGTAGATAGAGGCTGCGTTCCGTTTCACGCACATGCGGAGCTACATGCGCAAGTTTGTCTCGACCAATGATCATTTGGCACAGCTGAGTGATAAGCATGATAAGCTCTGAAAATCAATATGGCGACTTTGTTATATTTTGTTCATTGGTCGAGACAATATTTAAACAATAAAGACAAGACTGACGCTTAAAGCGCGTAAGCGTCCAAAGCGCACCTTATTATACATACACACAGAGACGGTTGGAAAACCGGGGGCCAAATACGGTTTGGCTTTTCTTTGGAAAATGTCGAGACCAGAGGACGCAGCTCGCAGTCACTTTTCTCGAGAGTAATTGATACAAAAAAAAAGAAGAGATGACGTTACTACAAAAGAAGTTCTTTTATTCTACGAAGTCATGACATTTTACGGGACATTCCTACTTTATGCTAATTGCGATTTTAGTGTTAAGTTAAAACGTAAAATATTATCGCAATACAACGCACAATTCTGTTTGTATATGTAGAGTTTGCCGATAGACATGACAGATCACACATCGCGTTTACATATATATATATATATTTTATCTTATATATATATATTTTATAATATTTTATCTTATATGTATATTCGGCAAAAAATACGTGAAATTATTTCTTTTACATTTTTTTTTACTCGGAATGATTTCAATTGGTTTTCTTATTATACGCTACGACTAGAAATTAATATATATATATATGCGGTAATTATTTACGCTACTAATACTTTGTCGTTTTATTTGTACTCACGCGTAGGTAAAACACAAGAACACAGATTTCTAAGTTATATTATATCATATCCTCAGAGAGATACATATCTATACGCCAGTTCGACTCTACACACACACACACACATAGACACAGAACGCATTCCGCATATTCATTGCAAATCTATAGTTGGCGTCACGTATAACAATAGATTTTCGATTACAAAGCAGCGAATATATCGGAATGCAATTTTTTATAGTATAATAAAAAAAACGCAGAGAGAAATATATACGATGGAGCGTATCTATACTATCAATTTTAAAAACGAGATTATGTCTCTTCTATGTGTTACACAGTTTTTAACTTCAACGATTCGTCACTCGCGTTACGCGCAAATGAAGATTTTATGAAACAAGAAGCATTTTGTTCTCCGTAAAATAAGCATGATGCGCGCGAATGAACAATCGACGAAGTAATAAAAAAGTCAACCGGTCCGATAAATATTTGAAAAAAAAAAGAACGCCATTCAAAACTCGAGAAAGAGATTTGTTATCTAATAACTTTTGCAGACAGGACGTGTCTCGCAAAAGGTCTATCTTGTCTCCGCAAAAGTTATAAGAAATTTACATGGTTATACGATATACATATATTGTACTTAAAGAGATAATATCAGTTATTAACATTTCTCTCTTAAATTTTATACCCCTGCACGTTTTAATTCTACCTGTACTCATTAAGTGTATTAATAGTAAATATACATAATATCATAGATATATATTTTCAAAGATTATTCTATCACAGTAAATATACTCTGCAATATGAACAACAATGTTTATCTGTAAAAAATAGCTTTGGAAAGAAATAATAATAAAATACGTTGTAATACAACATGTATTGTTACACACACAGATGTAAAAAAATATACTTTAAATGTAATAAATTTTTTTTTTTTTAAGCAATTTATGAGTAAAATAAAAGTATCTTATAATTTGATTATAGGCGTTACATATATATACATTTAATATCAGTTATTCTTACATGTCATAGATAATATATGTAAATGTATATATATATATATATATGTATATATATATATACATTTCTTTACCAAGTTTGTATGCCCTTGGAAAATAGTATTGTTAAAAAATAAAAGACATCATTTTTCCACAAAAACAACCGTACTTCAATAAATTTATGTTTTCCATTGTAAAAGAAAAAATGTATTTCTGATGTTTTATATAAAAAAAGTTTTTGTAGAAAAAAATACCAACGCAACTTATTACCGTTGTAACAAATACAATAATATAAGCGGGATAAAATAGTACGAGAACAATTTTAAATGTTTTTAAATATGTTTTAAATGTTTTAAAATATTCGACCGTTTTGTTTCAATCAATGAAACGTTTCTGTTCTTATCTGGGGTCTTCGTCAGCCAGACTAATATAACATAAATTAAAAATATAACATAAAGACCCGGTGCGCTGTCGTATCATCGTGAAATGAAAGTTTTGATAAATTTTGTACGTTTATAAGTTTTCATTCCGTTTAACGCTGTTGCAAAGTTTACCGCACGTCTCAGCGAATTATTTTGTTTATGCCCTTTCCATTCATCATGCGATTCGCCAATTAGTAAACATCCGTATTATACTGTTTTATTTCAAGGAAATGGGCTGCACACATCTAATGAGATATGTCTTGACACGTAATCCTCCAATTAACGTGATCTTATTGTCGGTTATACAAAATCAGATCGATATAACACCATATGTGCAAAATACACGTGATAACGTGTATTTAGATAAGACAGCGTTATTATGTATGGCACTGCATTAAGTACGAAATCAAAAGGCTCGGATTTGATTTTCTAATTTATAAATCTTTCTCCGTGTGAGACATCTATTCTATACTTCTATTTTGTGGAATTATGTACGTTTTTTTTTTTTTTTTTTTTTTTTTTACGGATCGATTTAAGATAAATAGGTACGGACATAAGCGCGAATCTCTAATCTACATAGCGGACAATTTGTGAGAGCCGGTCCGCAAAGGTCACACGTTGTTAGATGCCCGCAGGGCAAAAATACTAAAGCTAATTCATGATCCATGCAGACTTTGCACAAATGAGCTTCCTTTAACTTTCTGTTCTCTTCCCGCAAAGACACTGTAAGAAAGCGAAGCGAATTTATTGCAGAGATCCATTTTTTGACGTAATGCACATTGTTTTCTGAGAAATCAGATTACGTGTGCGCATATATCGAATATACGACCATAATGGACATAAAAAATAGGGTTACTTGTATATCATGTGAACTATTGCGTTTAAGAAATAAACGAAGAAATGTTAAAATCAATCTTGGTAGTAAGGTTACATTGATAAAAATGCAAAAATGCATTTTAATCAATGATATATATAAAGTAAGAAAAAAAAAACAATAATTTTATTAACAATAAAAAAAATACAAAAAAGTCAGAAAAAAAATCATATAAATAAAAATCATATAAATATATTATATAAAGTCCTGTTGTGTAAGATTATAACGAATGTCGAATCGATATATATTACTAATATTAATATATATAGTTCTGATATATATATTACTAATATGTTATCAATTAATATCATTAGCATATATGTTACTTACTAATATCGTCTGACCTATCATCCGCTTTTTTCTTTTCGAGTTTATCTTTGGTTGCATTTGACGCTTCTTGCGCATTTAAATCATTTGCGGCGTTATTAGGTGTCGTCACGGTACATTCCTTCAATAAATTAATTAATTCCGAAGTCGGTGAATTAGATTTGTCACGCCTAAAAAAAAAACAAAAGAAGACCGCAATACAATCATGACGATTGAATGATTTAAATTTTAATCATATATATATATATTCAATACGTGTATATTTCAAGTTCGACATACGTGTCATCTTCCACAAGACGTAGAACATTTCGCATTGGTTGGTCAATATCCGCACTTGATTCACCAGTTTCTTCCAGTCGTTTTTTCAAAAATCTTTTTAGTTTTTTAACAAGCGCCATAAGTAGTCTAAGTTCAGCCTCTGTCTATATTTATATACAAAAAAAAAAAAAAAAACATGTTAATTATATTTATGGAACAAACAACGTATTTACACACAACAAACTTGTAAGTAAGCTACATAAAAAGTAAGCCAAAGATATCGTCATGTTTCTGATATTTTGATTACGAAACTACATGCGTATAATGAAATAAAATAATGATGCTTTATATATGAAACACATATTGTAATTAATTTCACTTACCATATCTGAATCCAGATTTGTGTCCTCTAATACCCTTTCAAGTATTGCCGATTTACTAAGTTCATTGGATGCCAAAGTTGTAAGAGATGCAACTGAAGTTCCTGCAACATCTTTCGCAGATTTTTTTGTATCTGTCACCGGATTTCTATCTTGCACCGCTGTCGCAAGAGATAGAATCGAAATTTCTACATCCTGATCGAAAGTTGCTGTATCATGTGTCATGGGACACATGTTAGTTTGCAAAGTTGTAGGAGACTCTCTCAAAATTCCAGTTTCATCTACTGGCATCTTAGTGGCAAATATCTAAGCGTAATAAAAAAAAAATTAAAAAATAGATACAACATAGTTACTTTATTTTTAAAAACAAGAAAAATTATGTAATGTAATAAATACCGAGAGATCCAAAGGTTTTCTATTATCTATGCACTGTTGAACAAATTTTTGTCCGCGCATAAGATTTACAAAACCACACTTGGCAAACCATCGTGCGTGTTCGACCCACACATCATCCGTTGGTTCCCAATCTCGCAAACCTCCGTCACAATGGAAACATCTAACTTGGTCTCTACACCCTGTGCCAAAAATGTAAGAGTATTTATCAGAACATACATCATTTCATTAATTTCTATATTGTATATTAAAAAAAAAAAAAAAAAAACAAACAAATTAGTACAGTACTAACCAGTATAATAGAATCCGGCGGCAGCTAACATTTCTGGAGTTTGCGTAAGATCTTTCGGCCAGCCTGTAAAAGTTTGTAATCGTTTTTCATACACGGCATATCTTGGATTAGCAGGTGTCATATGTCTTTGTATTCCCAAATCTGTGATATTCTCTTTGGTGCCAGGCAAGACTGTAACCAATTCTAATATATCTGTTGAAATAAAAGTATAATCAAATAACTTAGTAATATATATAAGTCTGGGGGACATATTTAATTGAAGTAAAAATAAACAAGTGACTTTTATAAAAATTATACACAACAACGTACCATCTTCGTCTCGATTCATGTAGAAATCACAATTTGGAAAATATGATCTATGTAACATATCTAGATCTTGATTTGGTTCCCAATTCGCTATAACACCTCCACAGAATGCACACTCCACCTGTAAATTTGTACAAAATAAATTATATGTTCCTTTGTAATAATTAAGTATTGTTATTGTTATTTATCACCAAGTTAAAGGATTAGTTATTCATGTGTATACATCAAAAAAGAAAATGTTTACCATATCTTTGTATTGAAGATAGTAAAATCCTGCTGAAGCAAGTTTTTCTGGAAGCACAATGGAAGGTATCGGCCAATTTGTAAACGATTCCAGTCTCTGCTGAACAGTTCCATATTCTCTTCGAGGATTAAGCGGTCGTCGAAAGATCTCTGTATTGTTTGTGGATGCGTCGGATGGTTGTCCATTGGATGGTCCATTGGATTGTCCATTGGATGGCCCATTGGATTGTCCATTGGATAGTTGTGAACTTGGCGATGTCGCTTCCAGAATAACATTGTTATTTACAGTTGGCGCCAATGGAATGTTACACGTGCTAGTTGGATTGGCGGCGAAGAGACAGCTCAACTGGTGACAAACAGAAAGTTCATCACCGCTGGTCGAGTCAGATATTTTCGCGCCACAAAAGAAACATTGCACCTCCCGATCACGTCCCGTATAATAAAATCCCGCTTTTGCAAGACGTGCCGCGTCATCGGCTGGCCAGTTGCTAAATGTCTTGAGTCTATTCTCTTCGACATTCATCTTTTGAGAAATATTATATTATTGTCAGTTACACAATATCGATAATTTTTCATTTGACGAATACAAAAAAAAAAAAATTTATAAAAATCTATATAAAATATTAACGTAAAGACTAACCTCGCGAGACATGTCGTACATCATACACCGGTGAGGTTTATCTCAAGCAAAAAGTACGTTGCAACTGATCAAATGTCAAAACCCAATGTTATTCGGAGTTCAAAATATTTTCTTTTTCATCTAACGTGCAAATTCTCTGAGACCTTGAAACGTCCAAGAGCAAGTTCAACCTCATAATCTCGACTACTCTGTTTGTATCAGCTATGAAAAAACTAAATCACATAGATAAAATATTTATATAATTTATCTGTAAAATAACACATTTGAATCTACGCAATTTTACGATAGAATCAATAAGAAATAATTACCGAAAGCCAATGTTTTCTTCGCCTCAATTATCGTTGCGTTTACGTTCGCACGTACACTCAACACCTTTAGTATCTTCCACTAGAGTCAGTTTAGGGTAGGTAGGTTACAAAACGGCATGCGGATTTGCGTGTGGCGTAGCGCAACAATCGACCAATGAGCGTTTACCACAACTCTGAAAATCAATATGGCGACTTTGCGCTACATGTTCATTGGTCGAGAGACGATGTTACGTCACACCCACAATATTATTCAAAAGCGTAAGCCGAGCCAACCGTAATTGTGGGAGGAGGGTCCAAAGAGAGCGCAATACGTTGTTTGCGCATGTACACGTCTTATCAGAATTGTATGTTATTCTCACAAACAATATTTCATCGTCATTAATTACGTACACTTTTGCAAAGGAATGCAATCTGTGCAAATATGATGCGTCACATACCAAGATAGTCGGAGAGTTCGTACGTTTGTAATGTAGCCGTATCGACTTTTGTAACGTGTTTTTTTGTGACAACATGTGCATTGTACCGTCAAAGCGACAAGCAAAGTGATAGCAAATTGGAAGCAATTTTATTTTCGCAATTTTCTTTCCCGCGGGACCAAGATGCCGGAGCGAATCGAAATTGGTATATAAAGTTTTTAATTTTTTCTATGTATCATAATTTTTTTTTTTTTATTTACAACACGTCCTTGTGTTATTTTGTATTCGTAAAGCTGACATAACCTCTGTTGGATTAATTGGAATTTTCTGTGAGTGATAAAACTTTACGTTCCTTGAATTGCAGGTATTATTCCAAATAATTTGAGACACGAAGAAACTATAGTTCAAATAGCTGAATCTCTGGATAATTTGAGCGATGCGGTTTCGTACATATTTGACTGTATTGATAAAAGACTCTTGGAAAATACGCAAAGGTAAAACTAATTTATATTATTGTTTTTTTAGTCTCTAATGTTACGTACATATGTTTTTTTCAAATTGTGATAAACCACTCAACTAAAGTGTTTTTGGTTTGTATGTTTATACACAGAGTAACCAACATCAAAGAAAGAGCTAGAAGGCTGGAGGACAGATTGCATTATTTGCAAACCAATTTAAATCTGAAAGCGGTAAAAATGTATTCCGCCGCCAAATATCCGGCCAATCACATTTACAAAGAGTATCAAATGACGATACCATCTAAATGCAAACATACAGCTACTATACCAAGTGTTTATAAGTGTTCTGTGCCTATAAGAGACATTCCAGAAGCTTATTTATCTTCCAACTGCAAGACGGAAGACGGCCAATACGCCTCCAATGTCAATCTCCAAGAAAAACTTCAATTTTATCACGTTCGATCAAAGGCCGGCAAAAAAGATCATTCCGAAGACGAGGAGGTGCCGTTCCCGCCTCAATTATCTTCAGTTAGCGCTCTCTTATTATTTGACAGTACGGACAGTCCGTATCAAAAAACATCCATGAGATCATCGCGTCAATCTACCGATAAGCAGCAAATTGAGGACGCGCCGGACTCGATTGTACAACCGTGGCTCTCGTCAGAAATGGACGTGTCTTCCAGCTATTTGTACACGCCAACTCTCGGAGAGGTCAGCACTCATAGATTGATTGTTGTTTAATATTATATTGTATATCACCTCTCTATTTTACGTCTTAGATTCTTACAAAAATTTTTCTACATTTCAGGTTCCTCAGATAAACGTACCGCTAACGCTTCCGGATCTACCGGGTATTGTGGACGATGAGAAATTTGTGCTCGATCTTAACTCTCAGAGTCCGATAGCGCCATCATCCGCGGTCACGACGCCTACCGTACGTTTGGACCTGTCGACACCGACAATTGACGAGAGGGATTCTCAGTCGAAGATTGAGGACAGTGCTTTGCAATTGCCTACCGTAACCGGATTTGCTGCAACGAACGCATCATCGCAAGAACCCGCGCCACCGCCCCCTCCACCTCCTACGTTTACTAGAAACGCGAACAGTGTTATGAGCAACGAAAACCCCAAGCAGGTTGTGGCATCTCCTCCGCCACCACCTCCACCACCACCACCGCCACCGCCACCACCGCCGCCGCCACCACCGGTAGAAACGACCGTATCGGCGTCGAATGACAATTCGGAAAAGAAAGAAAAAAAGACAACGAATCGTCCACTCGGGAAAGTTGTAACGGACGATCGTTCCAATTTGATGGCGGCGATTCGAGACGCCGGCGGAATCGGCAGAGCGAAATTGCGGCCTACGGTACCGGACGAGAAGAAAAGCGATCGATGGTCCTCGGCGTCGGTCGGGGGCGATCTGATGGCTGATTTACACGCCAAACTGGCTCTTAGACGCAAGGGTATTGCCGGCTCCACAGTTGGTGCCTTAGAGAGAATGTCAAGTTTAATACCGCCGCCCCCGAAACCGAACGAGGCGTCCGCGTCGGACAGAAATTCCGCGACCAGTGAGTACGATTCTCAGAGATCTGACACGGATGACTGGGAAGAGTGATTGTTGTTGTTACGGCAATCGATGGTATATAGCGTGCGATTCTAATCTAAAAATGAAAAATGGCTTAATTTGATATATCGATATAGTTGCGTATAAGAAGACTCAGGGGTCAATTTTTAACATTCATTTTTACACTTAATTCAGTGAAAAAAAAAAAAATCTAAACAGTGAATAGAAAATTTACTTTGTACATCTCAGTACACAGTTTTTTTCCTAGAAAAAAAAAGAGATTTATTATTATATTTATTGTATATTTATGTTTTACACTCACCACACACATATGTATATACTGTTTTCTTTTTGTTATTGGTTATAAATATTATATATTTGCTTTCGTTACACATGTGTATAAGTAAAACATATATATTATTATTATACAATCTTCCTCTCTTAAAAATCTTGTACATAGAAAATGTTATATAGAATTACTCGAATATATATATATATAATTTCTCATTTTACATATTTCTTAATACGCAATATGAAGTGTAAAATATGTACGAATGTGATTAATGTACATATATATTGTTATTATGTGTGTGTTAATGTTATAATAAATTTTTATATTCAAGCTGTACAATACACATTTATAATAACCAATAGGAAAAAGTTTTTGCACGCATAACAGTCTTTCAGAATGTGCCTTAGACATTAATATCACATTTGTGATACATATACATACAATATGTTTGATTAAAAGTTTCTCACATATACTATATATTTGAAGTTTCAAAAAACATCGATATATTTAAAAAACCTAATAAAGCTATAAAAGTTATTCCCTGACAATCGTACTTTCATCGGTGTCTGTATATTTGTGTCATATAATTCTTTCTATGTATACGATTTGATTTGTAAAAACCTTCGAATATCGATTCCGCTTTCTCATGGAACAAGACTATCTTATTTTTTTTTTTTACATATTTTGCACATAGTTTTTTTTATACTTATATATTATATACACTCGCCATCGAGTTTGAGATTTCTTCTCGAAATAGCTACCGAGATGAAAATAAACTTACATATCTCATTTATCTACCTACTTTCAACCATGATAGAATTAATCGCTGTTTGTTTCCTTAATATATATATATATATATGTGTGTATACGCAATATAAAAAATTGTATTACACGGCAGAATATTTTCTCCTAACATTTTACATAGGTTTTTTTTTTTTTTATATAATAATTGAATTTACAAATTCGGTGCGATCCAGTTCAAAAACTTCATAAAAACTTCGAATCCCATGAAACACGCTGCGTTCGCGGGGAAAGCTCGCAACATAACGGGCACAACGCCTTTGTAAAGTGCTGTTGGTCCCTCGTTTTTCATTAGCTTAACAAATACTTCGCGAACTCCGCGCGTGTACGTGCCTTCTGGTGCTGTGTAATATGTAAAAAAAAAATAATATGTTACATACATACGCTGTATGTTCTATATTAAGACGATTCGTCTCGACTTGGGCGAGGTATCACGAAGTCTTAATATATCTCCAATTAGTCTTAATTAGTCTTAGTTAGTGTGATTCTGTTAAACTTTTAAAATCGTCATTGCCATTACAATTGAAAATCTGTACCGGTTACATACGTACCAGTTTGCAGGCGACTCTTCAGTATGTCAGGTGGCATACCGACCAACCAGTTCGCGATTCCTGCGAATCCGCCGGCCGCTATAGTAGCCAGTAAACTGAGCTTACCTCCCTCAGGAGTAAAGCGATCTTTCAGATATTCATACGTTAAGAAGTACATTCCGCTGGCTGGAATATCTAGAAAAACAAAAATATCGATGATGCAAATTCAATCGCTCGCCGTTTATTCTCACGCGGGCCAAAGATGGCACATAAACATTTAAACACATAAATTAATAATAGCGAGTGTGGAATGTGTGGGATGAGCAGATAGGAAGACATCCTGTTTGATAAGAAGAACATCACACACGGCGATAGATAGCAGTTAACAATTTCCAGTTCCTTTCAAACAGCACCAGCGTGCTGTTATATGATCCTTCGAGTGTTGCGGCCGTTCTGTGTTACAAAACTATAATTCAAACAAAAAAAAAAAAAAGTAAAAACAACATGACGCTTGTTCTCCTGTTGTTTGCCGTCTTGCTTTTGGTACACACGAAATTTAAAAAATAACAAAAGATATGAGAAATACATTTAACTCCCCAATATATAAAATCGACTTATCCAAATTACAATTGTGTTCAGGATCGGTGTACAGGACAAATTATAGATATCAGTGGTATATGGGAGATACAATGCCCGCAGGGATGTGTTTGCGAGGTCCAAAAGTTTTCCGATTTGGCGTTGCATCAATGGGCTGACGTAAATAAAGATAAGAATCAGGTATATAAACGAATTAAAATATTAATATCAATCGATTATACAAAACTTGCTTTCGTTAACATAACACAGTTCATATGTGTCGGCAGGACACATTTTTCGAGGACGATAATAATAATTTCAACACAATCGACGGGAGTCATCCTATGGCGCACGAATTAATGAAAATAGCGACCTGCATAATTGTCGAAAATCCCGAAGAACTTCTGGCCAAACTTCCTTCGGACATACAGGTCGTGTGATCAAAAACATAAATTAATTAATTCCTTGATCGCGCGCATGTATTGCGTTAACTTTCTTTGACTTTGTTTTTTTTAGTCCCTCACGTTACTCGAATCGGGCAACGGGGACGTTGACATTTTTCTTAAGGCTACCACCTTCGAAAGCTTCACCGAATTGATAGCACTGGATATTCAAGGGATAGACTACAGCGATCCTTCTGTGAAAGAAGCAAAGGATCGAGAGACGGGCGGTGTCGTTCTTTCATCGGACGCTTTCTTTTCTCTGGGACCGACTTTGTTGTACCTGAATCTGGAACGAGTTAAATTATCCAACTTAAATTTGCCGAACAAGAACAAGGCGAATCTGGTGATCAAGCCAATGACCGCGCAGGACACCGAAACGTCCGATGAAAGTGAATTACCTGCGAGCAATAACAGTCAACACAAAGGACACAGACTTATATTTTTGAGTCAGCAAAACAATGAGGATAAGGAGATATTGCCGTACGATCTGTACAAGCAGGAACTTGAAGGCTACAGAGAAAACGTTGAACTGTTTGCGACGCTTAGCGTGCTCACGCATTTGAGAGTGTACAACTGCGCTCTGAAAGACATATCCTGGCACATGTTCGACGGTCTCAACAGTCTTCTTTATCTCTCGTTGGAGAAAAACAGTTTAAAATTTATTCCCGAATTTTGTTTTTACGGCACACCGAATTTAAGATCCTTGTCGCTAGCGGGTAACGAACTGTTAACGCTGAAGAGCGTGGACCTAGCGGGATTGCTCGTGCTCGAACATCTGAATCTAAGAGAAAACAACTTAACATTTTTGTCGGAATTGTCGTTCCCGCCCTTTCCGTCGCTCGTAAGCGCCGATTTCACCGACAATCCTCTGGATTCCATTTTTCCGAGGTAATAAACTAATTTACGTGTAAAGATTTATGTGTATTAAGCTTCAAGAATTTTTAATAAACAAAGGCATTATGGCTATCGAAGCAAACACTGATGTCGATGTGTGAATGTTTGAATCAATTTATTGAAACTTAGTTGCATAAACGTTTTCGACCTTGTATTAGGTCTTTCTCAATGCATTTCTACAATTACAAAATTAACGTACAATCCAATTAATAAAAATTAAAAAAAGAAAAAAAAATTTAACAATTCGCAGAGTAAATATATTACATTGACATTTATATAATATATTTACTCTGCGAATTGTTAAATTTTTTTTTTTTTTTAATTTTTATTAATTGAATTGTTACGTTAATTTTATAATTGTAGAAATGCGTTGAGAAAGACCTAATACAAGGTCGAAAAACGTTATGCAACTAAGTTTCAATAAATTGATTCAAACATTCGCACATCGACATCAGTGTTTGCTTCAATAGCCATAATACTTTTGTTTATTACTAATTTACGTGACAATACACGCGTATATATATATATATATATAAATATATTTAAGAAAAGAATTATTAATATATAAATTTTAATTTTTCTATATTTCTAGTACTTTCGAGATAATGAATACGACGATAAAATTGTATCTCGGAGGTACCGCAGCGAAATTGAAATTACAGAAGAACTCGTTGCTGGGTCTACGACGAGCCGAGATATTACATTTGTACAATTTGGAAATTCTCGTGTTGGAACGTTTCATTCTTCAAGGACTACCAGCGCTCACGCATCTAAAGATGCGAGGAAACATCACGAACATAGATTTCGACGCGTTTGTCGATCTCGCGAATCTGATGGATTTAGATCTGAGTCACTGTCACATACGAAAGATTTCGATGGATGCTTTTTACGGTTTGGAAAAAATCAGAAGAATCGACTTGTCGAACAACGATCTCGAATTTATTCCGCCGGGTTTGGTCACCGCCCAACAACAGAAGGAGTTGAAAGAATTAATACTCACAAACAACAAATTAAGCGCGCTACCATTGGACTTTTTCAAAAGTCTGAAGTTGCCGAATAAACAAATGCAGGTGCAGAATGTGAGATTGGATGACAATCCTTGGGACTGCACGTGTCTCATGATCAGCTGGAATCCCAGTCTGGTAACTACTTTCGCGATACTAATTTGCATTTTTTATCGAATATGTGTCTAATATTTTTTGTTAATTATATTGTAAATTCATTTAACAAAATTGTAATTTGCAATACAGGTGAGCAAAAATAAGGAAACAGCTCCGCGATGTTCGACGCCGAAAAGATTGCAGAATTGGGGAGTATTTCACGCATTGCGCAAAGGCAATTTACAATGCAGACGTCCGAAGAAACGGTATCTCGCAAAGATTTTGAAGACGCAAAACTCTGAGGAGGATAACAGCATCAGTTAGCCGAAATCTCGTTTCTTTCTCAAATTGTATACTTGCGTTAATAAATACAGAAACGAAAAATATATATTACAACATTTGATAATAAGAAATAATGTGACGCACATGTGACTCACTTGAAAAACTCTCTCTCTCTCTCTCTCTACCTAAAATTAGCGAAACAAAAACAAACTCAATCTCATATACCTCTTAGCAGTGTTGCACAGGTGCCTTTGTAGATGCTCCCAATACCTCCTTCTCGATACAATTGTTTGGCACAGTCCACAGGTCCGCTGTACCTTGGTTTAGCATCTCCGTGCTGTATTTGCAAAAGACATTTAATACGTTCTCCAGGTGCCATTATAACTGTCGTGAATATGCCGCTAAAAGCACCGGCATAAAACAACTGTAGCGTGCTAAGTTTCTCATCTGGAGATCTTTGTTGCAGCTTCTTTCCGACGCTATATCCAAAAAAGCTTATAGCAAATATCGGAGCGACACCAGACAGAGGTGCACCCATACCTGAACAGAAAAACAATTGATTCTGAGTACAATAACAGTTTGACAAGAATATACCCTACATATCTTTCAACAAACATGTCTACAGACTTGGCTGTACAAGATATTTGCATCTTATAACAAGACAGAACTGCGACATATTTGTTAATCACATTTGTTAAAAATATAAAGTACCCTTGTATAAACCACGTAGTCCTTCTTTGGTTACTGTTTTTTTGGCGCAGTCATAGGTACCCGAATACAGAGGTGATTCATTAGGTCCCGGTACTGGCATAGTCTGAAGTCTTACCTACAAACATAACTTCTTTCTTAGGAATAAAGGTATAAAGGAACAAATGTATTTAAGGCTAAGGCTAAATTGGTTTGATTTAATTTATTGTAATTTAATTCAACTTGAGTTGAGTGGAGCTAATTTAAGGGAATTAAGTAAGTGTAAATAAGCGAGAAGTAAGTGATATGTAAGGCATGGAAGGTTGGAGTGAGATTAGACTTATTGATCATGTTCAGCAGACTGAGCAGATCAGTGAGAACTTGGTGATTCTTCAATATGATTGGTTTCTACACTTAGATCCAGAGAAGATCTAAAAACAAGATTCAATCATATTAAAGAATCACTAAAGCGATCACTGGTCTGCTCAGTCTGCTGAACGTGGCCATTGTAACCAAGTCCCCTTCTTGGCCATATAGGCTGAAGTGTCTCTAAATAAATATATATAACATAACTTCTTTCTTGAACAAATAGAAATTCTTGCAAAAAAACACACCAGATAAAATTCTGAATAAAAAAAAAAAAAGAGCATCACAATGTAAGTTGTATATTTAAAACCAAAGTTATTTATAAAGCATTGAGATATAACCTCTCACCTTAATGGTGTCCAGTGGATGACCAGCAACCACGGTGCAGACACCGCCGAAGCCGCCGCTTAAAAAATATTTGATGGGACTTACGTTGTCCGACATTATATTAAAATATTTTATTTAACTGTGTGCGGCAAGAAAAACGAACAGGTCTTTGAAACCTTCGTCCGCGCGAAGGCAGGCAAAGGAATCAGAGAAGGATCAAAGTCCAGAGAGCTATTGAACACACTTGTGATTGAGATAATAAATTCCAGTACCGGTTCATGACTCTTTTTTTTTGTTTTATTACGATATTTCACACGATTCAACAGATATTTGAGTTTACGCCGCGCCGACATTTTAAATCCGAAAAAATGAAATTGCGGACAAAATCGTCCGAAATTCGCGCGATAACGAGATCGCAAAAAGAGCGCGTGCGAAATCCTATTCTCGCCCCGATTTTGTATCTTGTGTTACACCGTCTGCACTCGAATGTAGAGACAAATATACGGTTGTGACACCGGAGAGAAAAAGAGGAAACAAGAAAAAAAGATTGATGAACAAAACAAGTAGAAAAGAAACATCGAATATTGACGGGCTAAAATAAAAATCAAAGTCCAATCTTGATCGATCAATCGTGAAAATAACAATTGAGAATAAACAAAATTGGTTTTTAAGTAAATTCGATTTTAAATATGAAAAAAAAAAAATAAAAACTATCCGTACGATCGTTAAAATTATACCGTCGATTATTTAAATAAAAATATCGATAATTTTTTGACTAAAGCAAAAAAAAAGAAAACAGCGCCGATATTTAGATTTCACAATATAAATGAAAAATATTTAACATTTCGTTCAAAAAATAGACACACATCACAATTTTTAGCGCAAATATGGCGATGAGCATGCTTTATTGAGTGTATCATCTCTATTCGCGTATTTTGAGCTCGCGACAGCTAGCGACACGTTGGCCACATTTATGTAAATGTGGACATAGTTTTGACACAATGGAACACCTTCGTGTTGAGAGATTATTGTCGATTATTTAATTGACACGTTGACACATGTACGCCATACAGCCGGTTTTGCGTTATTCGAATTTGTTTCTTTCGACGAAAGGTATCGCATCATTCATTTATGTATTTTTCGCAATTGTTTGAACAAAAATTTAGGACGAGGTAGTTCCGCGTTAGCGCGTCACACGTAGCAGTTTTAAATATGAATTTTATATTTTTTTATTCTCGCGGCACTTCAAACACTTTAACGATAACTTTTAGGAGGCGTCACGTAGTGTAATTTAGTGTGAAAATTTTGACAAAAACAATTATTACATCTTTAATGTTATTTCAGTTTTCAGTTTGTATAACCTGCACAAGATGAGGATTGTACAGCTCAAGAGGAATCGTATGTTCTACATATTAATTAGTGGAGTATTGGTGCTGCTAGGTTTATACATTCTTCTTGATCTTTCCTCAGACAGTCACATGAGTGATATAAAAGAATATGTGGCGCAAGGTCTCAGAAAGAAGCAGGTAAATTTACTGGTTACCAAATTGTTTTGTAAAAGCGATGTAAAGTTTTATAACAACAAACGTGAGAATTTTTTCTCATTGACGGTTGCAGTCGGTTGTATTTTCACATCTTTATTAAATTTCAAATAATATTTCCATCGCATATCGCACAACAACATCTGTGTTTTTAGTCCCAACTGCCTGTCACGTTTGAAATTCACATATTTTTGAAACTATTTGCCCTTTCTCTGAATTACACTTCTTTATTGTCTTGTTTTTTTTTTTTTTTTAAGGTACCAGTACTTATAGATGGTTTAGGAAATTACGAACCACGAGATATACATATTAGAACTGGTCCTGGAGAACTCGGTAAACCACACATTTTGAGGGACGATCAGCAAAATGACGTCCAGCAATCGGAGTCCGATTACGGCATGAACATGGTGTGTTCCGATGAAATCTCTTTGTCGAGGTCAATACCAGATACCAGGCCGGCGGAGTGAGTCTTCTTCTTGTTGCTGAACAATGTTAAATTCTGAATTTAAGTATTGGCTTTATTTATTTTGTTTCTTTATATCGCACACAGATGCAAGCACTGGAACTATCCAGATGAATTACCACGCACCAGTGTCATTATAGTTTTTCACAACGAGGGATGGTCCGTTTTGTTGAGAACTATCCACAGTGTTATAAATCGCACTCCATCGAAGTTTTTAGAAGAGATTCTTCTCGTTGATGATTTTTCTGACAAGGGTATGCCAAAGATTCGCATGTGATACGTGAAGATTCCCTCCCTGAAAATTTTATATTAACAAAAAGCGTAACTCTTTGCAGAAAATTTGAAAGGTGATCTAGATTCCTACATTGAACAATGGGGAGGGAAAGTTAAGTTACTCAGAAATTACGAAAGGCAAGGATTAATACGAACGCGTTCTCGGGGAGCGCGCGAGGCCAAAGGTGAGGTAATAGTATTTTTAGACGCACATTGCGAGGTCAATGTGAATTGGTTGCCTCCACTTTTAGCGCCGATTGCCGAAAATAGGTAAGGCAATTTAATTTCAAATTGTATTATTAATTGTACAAGTTGAAAAACCTAACATTCTTGTTTTTTTCTTCTCAGAAATGTGATGACAGTTCCTGTGATAGATGGCATTGATCATAAAACTTTTGAATATCGTCCTGTGTATCAAGAAGGACATTTGTACAGAGGTATTTTTGAATGGGGCATGTTGTATAAAGAGAACGAATTGCCCAGTCGCGAAGCTAAAACGCGTTCGCACAATAGCGAGCCGTACAGGTGCAATTTCTACTTCAACTTTTGCGTAGTCGTATCGTAAACTCGATTCTCTGTTTAATCAATGGTTTTCTTATGGAAAAAAACTTGTAGATCACCCACACACGCTGGTGGCTTATTCGCAATAAACAGACAATACTTTTTATCACTTGGTGGATACGATGAAGGATTACTTGTTTGGGGAGGAGAAAACTTTGAATTATCCTTCAAGATATGGCAATGTGGTGGAAGTATTTTGTGGGTTCCTTGCTCGCACGTTGGTCACGTTTATCGAGGATTTATGCCTTATTCATTCGGTAAACTTGCTCAAAAGAAGAAAGGACCATTGATTACTATTGTAAATACAAGAAATTTCTCGCAAATTTGTATATCACTGTGTTCATTGATGGAAATAATTACGTTAAAAAATTTTACAGAATTACAAGCGAGTTATAGAAACTTGGTTTGACGAGAAACATAAGGAATTCTTTTACACCAGGGAACCATTAGCTCGATTGCTCGATCATGGCGACATATCGGAGCAATTAGCTTTTAAGGAACGAAAGAGATGCAAGAGCTTCCAGTGGTACATGGATAATGTGGCTTATGATGTGTTAGACAAATTTCCAGAATTGCCACCAAACATTCATTGGGGAGAGGTGCGTTTAAAACGCGTAAATTTTAAACAAATTAGTCCCTAAACAGTTTTTATATATATTACTTTATTAAGTAATAGCAATATCTCTTTTGTTTTTAGTTGAGAAACGTGGCAACTGGATCGTGTTTGGACACTATGGGTCACTCGCCTCCAAGTCTTATGACTACCTCTCACTGCCATGGATTTGGAAACAATCAGGTAAGCAACAATTTTATATATATGTATATATAAATCTTATATATATATAT